CTAACTCGATGTAAAGGTGATGTAACTAAACTCGATGTAAAGGTGATGTAACTAACTCGATGTAAAGGTGATGTACTAACTTGATGTAAAGGTGATGTAACTAACTCGATGTAAAGGTGATGTAACTAACTTGATGTAAAGGTGATGTAACTAACTCGATGTAAAGGTGATGTAACTAACTCGATGTAAAGGTGATGTAACTAACTCGATGTAAAGGTGATGTAACTAACTCGATGTAAAGGTGATGTAACTAACTTGATGTAAAGGTGATGTAACTAACTTGATGTAAAGGTGATGTAACTAACTCGATGTAAAGGTGATGTAACTAACTCGATGTAAAGGTGATGTAACTAACTCGATGTAAAGGTGATGTAACTAACTTGATGTAAAGGTGATGTAACTAACTTGATGTAAAGGTGATGTAACTAACTCGATGTAAAGGTGATGTAACTAACTTGATGTAAAGGTGATGTAACTAACTCGATGTAAAGGTGATGTAACTAACTTGATGTAAAGGTGATGTAACTAACTCGATGTAAAGGTGATGTAACTAACTTGATGTAAAGGTGATGTAACTAACTCGATGTAAAGGTGATGTAACTCGATGTAAAGGTGATGTAACTAACTCGATGTAAAGGTGATGTAACTAACTCGATGTAAAGGTGATGTAACTAACTCGATGTAAAGGTGATGTAACTAACTCGATGTAAAGGTGATGTAACTAACTTGATGTAAAGGTGATGTAACTAACTCGATGTAAAGGTGATGTAACTAACTTGATGTAAAGGTGATGTAACTAACTCGATGTAAAGGTGATGTAACTAACTTGATGTAAAGGTGATGTAACTAACTCGATGTAAAGGTGATGTAACTAACTTGATGTAAAGGTGATGTAACTAACTCGATGTAAAGGTGATGTAACTAACTTGATGTAAAGGTGATGTAACTAACTCGATGTAAAGGTGATGTAACTAACTCGATGTAAAGGTGATGTAACTAACTCGATGTAAAGGTGATGTAACTAACTTGATGTAAAGGTGATGTAACTAACTTGATGTAAAGGTGATGTAACTAACTTGATGTAAAGGTGATGTAACTAACTTGATGTAAAGGTGATGTAACTAACTCGATGTAAAGGTGATGTAACTAACTCGATGTAAAGGTGATGTAACTAACTCGATGTAAAGGTGATGTAACTAACTCGATGTAAAGGTGATGTAACTAAAAGTAACGTCACACTGCGCCTTGAGCGGGCGTAGCGGACGGGATTTGACCCGGACAGCGGCTCGGTGAACCCGGTGGGGCGTCGTGAGCTCTTGAGCGGGGGGGGGGGGGGGCGCGTGGAGAGTGAAAGAAGCCGAATTGTTCTCTTGAATTGCAAAAAAACCATCAAAAAATCTGGCTGAGATTTTGTTTTAAAACATTTTTCATAATCAGGAAGTGTGCCCTACGAACAGCTCGCGCAAAACAGAGGATAAGTTACACGTGCCGAGTTCAACGGACCCGTTCCGTTCTGTGGTGAAGCGGCCAGCTGGCAGGCATTGGCTTGCGTTGTTAGTGGGTTAGTGTAGCGGTGAAGAAACGTGCACAAACACCGCACTCATAACCTCAGTACTAATTTTAGACTGAGTCAACCTACGGGAGGGCCCTCGCCAGGTCTAGCAGGCAATTAAATGTTGCGTGCCATGGCCAGGAATCAAACCCTCGATCATTGCTAGAATTGTAAGGCAGTGGCACCGACAACACCACCATCACACCCAATTCTCTTTGTGTAACTCGTGCACGCACAATACAGGCACTCAGACACACATACACAACAATACACGGTGTTTAACATACAATCACACACACGCGAGCACGCGGAAAAAAAGCCCGTGCGCATGAGCGCACACGCGCACGTGTACGCGATGCTCACATGCGCCGCATTAACGTGATCTCTGGGGGTTTGACGGCGCTCGGCAGAGACAGGGCCCTGCATTGTGCGAGCATCAGGACGCGTGCGCGACCACCCCCAGCCACACAGCTGCCACTTGGCACTCGCACAAATATTGTGTCTACCTCCAGAGCGGGAGGGGGCCGGGATGAGTGGGGCTCTGGGGCTTGCCAAGGTCAGGCGGCGAAGGCTGATGACTTGCACGAGTCCGCGGAGGGCGGGCTTCGGGGGGACTGTGTTGGGATTCATCTCACTGGCGTTTTAAAACAATACCGTCTATGCTTTCAGCTCCACTTGGCGTTTGGACGTTTTGAATTGACAGCTTCAGTCTCAATTAGGTTTATATTTTTTTTTACTCAACTATTGTCAATTTCGGTTACAGATCCAGAACATGCGAGTTTGGTTTGTTTCCCTTGGGTGTTAATAATCAGTCACGTCACGACATGCGCCACGCCACGTGAGAAGTCTTGAAAGGGAAGAGGTCTAGAACGAGACAAGTCAGAACCGCTCCAAACGTCTCAATGGATGTCTGGACTTGCACGGTAGGGATGGCTACAGTCTCTGGCTTTGGCTCGGTTTGGCCAAATCGTATGAATGGCTGTGGCCAAATTGAGTTCTGGTTGCTTTGCAGACTCCTGACTGGGCTCAGCTGAGACTCAACACGTGCTTCACTTGAGGACCCTTCCTTGTGTGACTCGGAGAGTGGAGCCCAATGGCTGGGCCCGAACCCAGCTTCTCAGGGACGTTGGGTCAGTGCCCCGGCACGAACCACAGCGCTATGACAAACACACAACCGTCCCGTGCCAAACCACTTTTCACCTTCCTGAGTTATCAATTGCACAGCGATTAATCTCCCAAATGGCATTTTGGTGATTAATTACACCGTACGTGTGTATCAGCACGTGTGAGCACGTGTGATCACGTGTGTGTGTATCGACGAGTGGCAGCCAAAACAAAATAAAGAGATCGTTAAAGTCACGCCCGACTCATGTCTGTGGGGTTTTTGTATTTTTATCTCCAATTCTATCAAGAACACGGAACATTGACAAATGTGTCAAATGTACAGCTGCAAGCTTTTGTTTTTTATGTTTGCTCTTACAAGCAATATTTATTGTGGTGATAACATATTATTTTATTATCTGTTCATTTTGACAATTGCACTGTTTGTCTGCACTAAGATACTTGACACCATACTTTATTTATTAACTCTTACACCTGGTTGTAAACAACGTTGACGTGTGTGCGTATTTTTATACACGATGAAGCATCTGTACAGGGTTATGCAGTACAGCAATACCCCGGCTTACGTCGGGGGGATGGTTTCCTGAAAGGTGCATCGATGAATATCGAAACGACGTCAATAAAAGCGATTATTTACTGGGCAGTCGGCGGTGAAGGCTGAGAGGCGACAGATATCGAGAAAGGATGGAGGATGCTGTCAGCGTCGCAAGTGTGGCTTGAGGCAACGCAAATGGAGTGGCGGTGGTATTAATAATAAAGTAATGACATATTTTCGGAACGACGTAAAAAGGGGGAGACGTAAATCGGGGCGTGACTGTATTCGGGCTGAGGGGCACTGCCGCGAGAATGCTCAACTCACAATGGTAACAGATTGTGGTCGAATGTCGATTCACGCCTCTCATCCTTTCTGGGTTTGTGATGTCACCTCCTTTTTTGTGGCAAGTCAACTGTTGGTCTTCCAACAGAGAGAATGACCCTTGTCGTGCAAATGTGGAATTTCCATTCTTGTCTCTGTGGTCTCAGCTGTGGCTATTTATGTGCCGTCTCACCAGACGAAAGTACACATTTCCAGAATTACGTCGGCCACCAAAGTCCTCCGTGACACGACACCATGGAACTTCTCCTGCCCGTCACTTTAGCAGACACCTCCACTGCTCCGAGTGTCGCCGCTGCAGAGGGGCCGACTTTCTTTCTGCTATTGGCGAGGTGTGTTTACTTTGGAATGGGCTAACCGAATGCCAAAAAGGCATACTGTGAGAATTTTTTTTTTATTATTCAACTGCCACTCATCAAGATATTTGGCCGTGCTGCACTGTATCGTGTATGCATTGAAACTAATCACACCCGTTTACGCACGGTACATACACTGTGCCGTACATGAAAATACGTTGGATACAATACGCATTCACCTGCAAATATAGAAACATTTCACGTGCGTGGTTAAGAAGTCATAAGGAAGATTTGCCACTTGTACATTTCTATTAACGGAACAAACAATGGACATTTGGAAGACTACCATCACGTTGTGCGGACACGCGGTCATGAGATACCCACCTTGAGCTGAACGCGCCAACTGCAACACAGCACAGCGCAGCACTGGCATGGCCGAACGCATCATCATCATACGACGACGCTGCCGCCATACACGGCGACAACATTCAGGCAAGCGTCCACGGAGTAAACACCTCGATGTGTCAAAAACAAAAAAGCTTGTGCAGCTGTAATTACATTCGTAGCATGACTTGGAAGTATGGGATTCTTCCCACAATGCTTGTGATGAGGAATATCACTGCCTGGGGTCATTGCTATCATCTTAACCGTTACTATGAAACTCCTAAATATACTCAATGGCCCTTTGGTGAGTGTGATAAGTGCCAAGTTTCGTGTGAGGGTGGAATCTATGTATAAACTGGAAGGGTCTGGGAGGCCCCAAAGACTTGGAACTCGAGAGAGGAACCTGGAATAAAATTTGGCCAGACCTCAGAAACTAAATGAAGACCCAATTAAGATTGGGAGTCGCTCATAATTTGAGTTAAGAATTTTTTCACAAAACTCTAGCTATGCTAGGAGTACCCCTGGACATTTCAAGAAGGCCTCAGGCCGTATTCCGAGTTGCGACTCGGCTTTGGTCCGGTCTCGAACACTCAGGCTCAGCTCAGGCTTGGACCACTCCGTTGCTTTCAAAGATGCCGGCTCACTTGAGCCAGAGCCAAGCCTCAGCCGAGCGGAGACCAAGTTAAAAAGGAGGAGCTCAGAACCGGAGGAGGTGCGGAGTGGTTGAGGAGTGCCCGAGATGGGGGACGATGGAAGGCTGCGGGGACAGTACCTGGAAGGCGCTCTTCTTCTGTGTGGCGGCGCCGTCTCGCTCCTCGTCCTCCTCCTCCTCTTCACTGTCCGTCTCGAAGAGGTAATAATCGCCAGAGCGGACCACTTGACAGTAACGGGATCACGCGCGCTCGTTAAAACCGGACTCACTCCTCGCACGCACTTACCGCAGTCCTTTTCTCGCCCGCTCCAGCCGCATTCACCGCAACGTGCGCGCCCACTGCGGCCACCCTTGTGTGCCCCCCCGTCACAAAACACGTTCAAGCCAACTCGATCGCTCGTCACGGCCACAGAGACGACAACGGGATCACGCGCGCTCCTCACGAATGCTCACAGTGTAAGCTGCACTTACACCAATGTCAACGCAATCAATGAGAAGCCGGCGTGTGGCACGGTTACCACGGGCGCAGGTCATGACGGTGGTTACGATGAGAGCACAAGGCTGAGTGATGAAGACATGAGATTCTCTTGCAACCTCTTAAGACACAAACCAAAGAACAGACAGCCCTTATCTAAGCTATGGGTCCTTTTTGCCAGCATCCATAATGATGCAAAATAAGAATAGGTTTTACCTTTTCTGGCAATAAAACAGGTGTTAAGATGTTAAAACGCGAAATAGAAACCTTTTTGCAAGGAATAAAAGTCTGATATAACTGCTCGACCCAAGCTATAAGCTATAAGTGCTCGCATTGCCTTTCTACTGTTCGCCTTTTGGCGTTGTTCTCTGGTCTAACACTAATAGACGAGACAAGGCCATGAAGAAAGCTGTCTCTGGTGTAGGCCAATCAGTTTTAAAGACAATGCATATGTTATAATCAGAGCATGTTTTTTGCACATTTTACCACAACCATGTAGTTAATGCAGAATCGATACCTTGTAATGAGGGTCTATTTGGTGTTTCAACATCTTAACACCTCCCGTATTAAATTTTGATTTAAAGCTTTCGTGACTGCAGGGATTCATCTTCTTGGTTCTTTCGGTAAAGTCACGTAGAAGGGAAATAATAAAATAATAAAAATAAAACATAATAAAATAATTCTCACGACGTTTCGGCCACTGAAGAACAGGTCTGTCTTTCCGACAGACCTGTTCTTCAGACAGACCTGTTCTTCACCTGAGGACGGCTGGTTGCGTTGTGGCCGAAACGTCGTGAGAATGATTTTATTATGTTTTATTTTTATTATTTTATTATTTCCCTTCTACGTGACTTTACCGAAATAACCAAGAAGATGACCTCCCGTATTCTTGCCGGAAAAGGAAAACCTATTTTATTTTTGTTCATCATATTTCATCACGCTGATCAGCAAGGGTTGGTGAAGAGCCCAAGACTGTTTCACACATCACTCACCACTGACATTAGCCACAGGCAGCAACACATCTCAGGTGACCGTGGTGAGAGCAATCGGTGTTAGTGGTGGAGCTGTTAGTGCTGCTGTGGCGTTGCGGTTACAGGGGGACCTACTGGAGGCGTGGTCGACCCATGGGCGCCACCACTGCTTCCTCTTCTTCTTGCCACCGGGTTCCTTCTCCCCAATCTCCTTCCCAGCGCCCTCCGGGGCTGGTCCCCACAGGGGTGAGAGTTAGTCGGAGGGATGACACTCACGTGCATTGCGTTCACAAAATAGAAATATGCGGCAGCCCTAACAATCTGTGGACTATAAAGTTACCGGGCCTGTACTCTAAAAACATGTTTTTTAAGTATATCATAAATTAGGCAAATATTACGAATTGTTTTTTGTAATTACAAAAAAATACACTTAGTATTCCCAGTCGAATTTTTTATGTAAATATGGATCACAAATGAGTTGAATTTAGCATAGGTTATATAAATTATGTATCCTAGAAATATCTTGCTGATATTTTTTTTATTTTACCATGTCCAAATTTGGTCTCCCAGTTGTCCTCAAGTTTGTGGATTAAGGCATTGCCAAACTGTTGATTGAAATCCGCTGATCACATGTGCTGTGGGTAACCTAAACTATGCCAAATAAACACGTGTCGATGGGAGGCAAACATTGTTGTGTCCGATGTTCTCGATAAATTCCTTTCATCATCGCGCAACACACGAGGTTATGTACTAGAGTACCGCGACTGTACAACGTGCTGCCACATTTCTATTTGGGGGAGCATGCCTGTAAATAACCACACTGCAGAAAACAGAAGCAGCAACCGCACTTCAATTATATACAACAGTCTACGTGACATCACCGTACGTGGTGTGTACACCGCGTATATACCGGATTGTAAAATGTATTGCGGTAATCTTTGACGAAGCACGTCACATTTTCTACAAGTACGCCGCCAAAAGCGACCACTGTGTGTGCAGGCCCGTTTGGCTAAACTATCATTTACCTAAACTACGAGAAGCAAGAGAACCCGCGGTGGGGGGCTGGGGCTTGTGGGATTTCAGAGGCGACAGTCGCCAATCGGGGCCCCTGCCACCAGCGACAACCACGAGCCACTTTGGTTTCTCTCCGAGGCGCCGTGGGAACGCCGAGCGCGCCGGCTAACCCTCGCGCACGGCAGGGTGCCCCCGTGCCTCGCTTGTGCCTCCCTTGCTGCGTGAGCAACGCCCACATGTGGGGCACTGGTATGCAGGGCCGGATTAAGATTGTGTAGGCCCCGGGGCTACTGGTACTGTGAGGCCCCCAGTAATATTTTCCAAAGGAAAACAAAGTTAAAGAAAAATACAATTTAATTTACAAGGCTGACAACAAATAAAATTTGGCATTCACAAATGAAACAACTTTTCACTTCATCTCTGGAGGCCTCTGGGCTACAGCCCCTAAAGCTTCGTGCCTGAATCCGGCACTGGTCGCATGTGGCACGCTGTCGCATGTGGCACGCTATCACATGTAGCACGCTATCACATGTGGCACGCTATCGCAATGCATTTTAGAATTGAGACTGCAGCAGTGTACCTGCTTGTTTTTTTACGTAGGTGGATTGAAAAACAACTGAGCACACGAAATAAACAGCACACTGTATACTATAGTGAACATACTCTACGTACATCGTCGTGCTTGTACAGGTTATAGGTCACGCCTTGCAGTGTTAGTGTTTCGATTTAAAGCTTTCGTGACTGCAGGGATTAATCTTCTTGGTTTTTTCGGTAAAGTCACGTAGAAGGGAAGTAATTACTTCCCTTCTACGTGACGTAATGACTTTACCGAGAAAACCAAGAAGAGTGTTAGTGTTGTTACTGGGGGGGGGGAAAACACGCGGCGTGTTACACAAACAAGGGGTCCACGATCCCCAGTCAGGCAGGGTTTCTCCAACTCCATTTCTCGCGGCAAACAGGTTTTGCATTTTGATGTTTCGTTGATCAATCAATCGCAGATTTATAACACTCCAAATGCAGCATTTAAGCTAAGGTGGAAGTGCGTCTCAGCTTCTTCACAGCGCTGCATCACGGGGCTTCACGTGGATGGAGGAGGAAGACCGCTCAATGGGGAAGGTGGACCCACAGTGGGGGAGGCCCGTTTGAGAAAAAAACAGTCCTGAGTCCTAAGGCCTTCTTGTCACCCCAGGCCACACAGTGTCCATTCTGCAGGCTCCATGTCACTTATGGACAGTGCAGCAGCAGCAGCAGACACTGCGCTTTTACTACGACGATTGCGACGACAAATACAATGACTCACTCGGTCGCTCGCAGCAGCCACGGTAAGTGCTGCTCACAGGGAACGCACAGGCTGACTTGCTCGTATCAGCCAACCAAGACAAACAAAAAATATACAGCGTGAATCAAAACATTTAACAAATAAATTATATATTTAGAAAAATGACGTGAGAAATAAAAAACTTATAAATGAACATCCTTCATTTTAAATATTAGCTGCCAGGAGCTGAGCCTAATCCGAGCTATAGCTGAGCCTGATCCGAGCCATGGCCGAGCGAGTGGCTCAAGGCCGAGCTCTAATAGTGAGCTGAATCTCACTATTAGAGGGTTGTGCCAGAGCCGAGCCGCAACTGAGAATGTGGCCCCCGAGTTTAAGCGAGCTCAGACCACCCAGGAGGTGGTCTTGTATGTCTCAGCGATCGGGACGCCGCACGGCACCATTGTGCCTGGGTTCGATTCCAGGCGGTCATGCGTGGACTGAACCTGCTGCTCAAGTATGGCGAGTTTATGGTCTCAGCCGGGTAACCGATGACCGTACCACAAAGAAAACATTAAAAATGTCATTCGGTGTTTTACTTAATTTGGTAAAAACTTCATATCTGAGAATAAAAAATGGAAATTCGACTGTCATCTCATAACAGAGTGGATGGTCAGATAAAGGTCAGATAAATGTTACTGATTTTAGTATTACTGCAATCAAATCACCCCCTCGCCTGTACGTGTTAGTGGTCTATACCAACCATCAATCAAGTGGGTTGAGGCACATGGCTGAAGATGGATGAGCTCATGATGGAATGTTCCACTGGTTGGGTGGGGGAGGCAGCCACAAGGAAGGAGAAGCTCAACCACAGCCCACCACAACCACCGTTAATGCACCACTCGCCACTGAGCGGAGAGATGGCTCAGAACGTAAATATTGAGCGAGTAATATCAATAACGAGATGCACCAGAGTGAAATGAATGGCATTAACGCAACAAATATACAGCAAAAAAAATAAACGCAGATTCACGCAAATATTTATGTGTGTGCATATGTTGAAACATATGGACTTTCTGATGTTCCTTATAACCAAGTCACAGCCAATTAAGGTTCATTATCCCCCTTGCAGAGACGACTCGGGGGTAATAATAGTTATACGTAGACAGTTATTAATCATTAAAATTCACTTAAAAGTCGGTCATATTAACGAAAAACCAAGTAGCACCTTTGTAATGCACTGTAAATATGACTCTCCATTGATGTCGGTTTAATTAAATACAATATATTGTGTCTCGATAGAGAGATTGGAAAGGAAATGGACAGAAAGACATGGAGACAGGGAGACATGGAGGCAGGGAGCCACAGAGACACGGAGACAGAGAGACACAGAGACAGGGAGACACGGAGTCAGAGAGACATGAGAACAGAGAGACAGAGAGCCACAGAGGCAGGGAGACACGGAGCCAGAGAGACAACATATCATGACACCGAGCCACTGCTGAGGGCTCATGATTTATTGAGTGCACGACAACAACTCGTGACGCTGTCCAAACTCTGCCGGCTATCCCGAGGCCCCTCCAGGCTATTCCAGGGCCTTCCAGTACTCGTGGTTTGCACCCTGCACTCCCCAGACACCAGGCGGGTTTTGCAGCGTTGGCACTCGTTAACCAGGGAGTCACCGCCTGGCTGCGGCAGGCATCCTGCAGAGTTCACAGCCGTGCACTCAGCTCTCCTTATGGGAACATAAAACACTCCTCCCTCCTTCTCCTCCCCCGTCTCTCCTCGCACGGCGTGTGCGTTGAGAATTCCCTTTCCTCGTCCATTGTATTCAAGCTCATGGAGTGCGACTCGACTCAAAATGCTTCATAAATGTCACCTGCTCTCCATCGCCCAGGGATTTCTGTCGTGGGCAGCTTTGTGTTAAAGGCCTGTGGGCCTCTTTAACAGCCGCTGTGACAACAGGGGCCAAACAGTACTAACAACACACTCCCTTTATGTATTGTCTACAAATATAGTTTCAAAGTACATAAAACAATGCTTTAAAAACAACGCTTTTACTTCACTTCACCCAAAATGTCATGATTTATGCCTGGAAAAGGCACCTTTTCATTGGAAAAATCACTGTGCCTCATCGGATAGGGAAGAGGGAGGGGGGCTAATGGTGCTTTGCCGCTGCCAAACACTTTATAAAACCTGTGGGTTGAGGGTTGGGTTCACATCCAGGACCAGGAACCGGTGGGGGGGGGGGGGTTTAAAACTGAAGAGGGGCAGCCGAGAGGTCATGAGAGAAAAAGAAGCACCTTGGAAGTGTGTGGTGAGCTCCTGTTCACCCTCGACCGGTGCTGACTCCTTTCCCTTCTTGAACTTCTGCTGCCGCGCAATGATCCGCTCCATCCTGGCCAAGCCGTATCACAACAACAACAGCAGACAACAACAAACGTTTATAATGCCCCCACAACGTAAAAAAAAACCTTTCAGAGCGCAGAGTTACAAAGGGGGAAAACAGTAAGGAATGCGATGGACTGAATAAAGGAGGGAGAGAAAATTAGCACGTAATGGGGGTCCAAAACATTCTGAATAATAAAGTTTAAAACTTTGTTTATTTTAACAGCTAAAGCCCACTGAGCTATATTGCTCTTTTTCAGAAGCAACCTGGCCACAACCGATAGCTCAAAGGAGTGGCTTATCAGGTGGAATTCTATAGCAGCCAAATACGCTAAATGTGTGGTGACATTGATTCTAAATGTTGAGGGAAAAACCCGAGGACCCGGAGAAAAACCCACAAGACCACGGGGAGAGAGACACCGCAAACTGCAAATATACAGCAGCAGGCGTCAGGGTTGGGTTCAAACCCACAACCTCCTGCACACCAGGCGAGGTAGTTAACATCTCGCCGCCAAGGCACCCCTAACGCCACGAGGAAGCACCGTTTCTCAAGCACGTCATCGATCAGCTGCACGAAGCTCACAGGCGATGAAAAGGTTCTGAGTTCAGATCCGGGCGAGGTGACGACTCGTGCGAGCAGGAAGACGCTTGTTGAAACTGGTTTCACTCGGAGAGACAGTGACTCGGTGGTAAACCGGAACTTTACGTGCGCTGCTCATGCCACCCGCTGTGGCCTCTCCTCCCCCTCTTGTTGTTCATATTCATGGCTTTCACTTCTGTCTCTCTTCTCCAATGCAAATCCCATACCGGCGATTATAATACTTATATATCGTTGAGCTCTAAGAACGAGTGACATTGACGGGACACCAGCACGGCAGTCCGGTGCGAGACGCACTGCCGCTTCAGCTGGTCCATGGACTTCTTCTCCTCCTCCATGCGCGCCTTCACGGACTTCACCATCTCCGCGTGGATCAGCTCGGCACCGCTGGTGTACACGCAGGCACACACACAGACAAAGATCCCCCGTATACCATTAACAGACTGTTGAGGAAAGTGCTGTTAGCGAGTATTGCCTATGAAGGCCGGCACAGCACACGAAGGGGTGGGTGGCCAGCACTACGCCTGGCCGCCTTTGTCTCCCTAACGATGATGTTTACACACCGCACTAGGTACTCATTTGAGGCTGAGTCAACCAAGGGGAGGGCCCGGTGCCAGTTCAGATAATCGTCACTGGCGTTGGCCGTGAGCGGGATTCGAACCCGGCTCGCCAGGTTCGTAGCGCAGCGCTAACTGCTACACTGCCGCTCCCTCACGCACACACACACGGACAGACACAGTTCCCCCAAAGCAACGTTAAACATCCCCCTGACTTCGTTTAGAACACGTAGATTGTTGTCAGCCCGCGTTATTGTCCACATTTGGCAATTGACTCAATAGGTATTACACACAGCGGCAATCATCGCCCCTGCTGGCAGACTAGCGCCCGTTTGGAGGCCAGGTGCAGGAGGTCACCTTGTGACCACAGTGAGCGAGAATTGAACTTGGGTCACCGGGTTCGTAGCAACGCCCTCAGGGGCTCTGTCCAAGGTCAAGCCGCACTTCTGTTCTTGACAAGTACAAAACAAATGGCGGATCGGCGCGAGTGTGTGGAGTGGCGATGGATGTTGTAGTGCCACCGTGTCGCAATGTACGTCTACAGCTGGGAGCACCACGGCAGCAATCTCGCCAACGGTCAACTCTGCGAACACATTGAGAATCAACGTTATGCGTTTCGAGTATCTGGCTGCTATAAATGTCCACGTGATAAGCCACTTTGTTGGGCGATGCTTTGTGGCCAGGTCGCTTCTGAAAACGAGCTGCATAGCTCAGTAGGCCTTAATTGCTAAAATAAAAATAGTTTAGTTCTGCACGTTGAACGGCCGAAGAAGCCTCCCTCAATGTCCAGCCGGAGACCCCCTTTAGCGGCGAGGCTTAAGGGCACACGGGCGCCAGCGAGGGACCATGCGTGCGTACGTCTGTGCGTGCGTATGTCTGTGCGTCTGTGCGTACGTACGTCTGTGCGTCTGTGCGTGCGTATGTCTGTGCGTCTGTGCGTACGTACGTCTGTTCGTGCGTATGTCTGTGCGTACGTACGTCTGTGCGTCTGTGCGTGCGTATGTCTGTGCGTCTGTGCGTACGTACGTCTGTGCGTGCGTACGTCTGTGCGTACGTATGTCTGTGCGTCTGTGCGTCTGTGCGTCTGTGCGTCTGTGCGTGCGTACGTACGTCTGTGCGTCTGTGCGTACGTACGTCTGTGCGTACGTACGTCTGTGCGTCTGTGCGTACGTATGTCTGTGCGTCTGTGCGTACGTACGTCTGTGCGTGCGTACGTACGTCTGTGCGTCTGTGCGTGCGTACGTCTGTGCGTCTGTGCGTCTCGCATTGCGGTTCGTTCGGGCCAGTCCGGTGCGGTGGGGACCAATGTGTGGGTGCTCCGACCTCTTCCAACCGTGGAAGAGTAGGCTAAACACCCTCGAGAGGGGCTCTCTCGACCTCCCTCTCTCCAGCGGAGGGCCCTTCCAACCAGCAGCGGCGGGCGCGAGCAAACCGCGGGGGCCGCGCCTTCGCCCCCCCTTAGGTTTGGACGGGGCAGCGGTGGGGGCGCGGCTTACCGCGAGGCGAGCAGCGTGGAGGCCTGCAGGTCGGCCACCACGTGCAGGTAGTAGTAGCTGAGGAAGACCCTGCGCTGCAGCAGCAGGAAGAAGAAGCAGATGGCGTCCCAGATGATGCCGGCCTCGGCGCGGGGCAGCTCGCACAGCTTGGGGTCCGGGAAGTCTGGGGACACGGCGTCACGGCCAAGCGCGGTGGCGAGACGTTAACTACCTCTCCTGGTGTGCAGGAGCTCGTGGGTTCGATCCCGACCCTGACACCTGCTGTATATTTGGAGTTTGCGTGTTCTTCCCGCAGTCGTGGGGATTTTTCCTCGGGTCCTCCGGTCTTTCCCCCCACGTTTAGAATCAACATCACGCGTTTAGTGAATTTGGCTGTAATACATTTCCACGTGATAAGCCACTTCATGAAGCTATTATCTGTGGCCAGGTCGTTACTGAGAAAGAGCTACGTAGCTCAGTGGGCCTTACCTGGTAAAATAATAAATAAATAAAATTGCACGGTGTGGGTGGTGCATGTCTGTGTGGTGTGTACGGTTGGTATATGTGCGGTGTGAATGGTGCGGGTGGTGCGTGTGTGCAGTGTGTGCGGTGTGTGCGGTGTGGGTGGTGCGTGTGTGTGCGGTGCGTGTGTGCAGTGTGTGCGGTGTGGGTGGTGCGTGTGTGTGCGGTGTGAATGGTGTGGGTGGTGCGTGTGTGCAGTGTGTGCGGTGTGTGTGGTGTGGGTGGTGCGTGTGTGCGTGGTGTGAATGGTGTGGGTGGTGTGTGCAGTGTGTGCTGTATGTACGGTGTGGGTGGTACGTGTGTGTGAGTGGAGGGTGTGTGTGCGTGCGGTGTGGGTGGTGCGTGCGCATGTGTGCAGTGTGTATGTTGTGGGTGGTGCGTGTGTGTGGTCTGTGCGGTGTGGGTGATGCATGTGTGCGATCGGTGTGGGTCGTGTGCATGCGGTGTGGGTCGTGTGCGTGCGGTGTGGGCGGTGCGTGCCCGGGTGCGTGTGTACGGTGTGGGTGGTGCGGTGTGGGCGGTGCGTGTGTGCGGTGTGTGTGCGCACACCCTGGTTGTAGCCCTTGATGGTGCACACCAGGCTGAAGGCCTGTACGAGCCAGCAGCAGTTCTCCCCGAGCGAGCGCAGGTAGGCACACGCGGCAATCTGCAGGGCACAGCGCGGGGGCGGCGGTCGTCAAGCCCCTAACCAGGCCTCAACGCTCCTGCTCCAGGTCACGTCTTCCATCCAACAGGATCTCGACATCAGTTATAAAGAGGCCCACAATGGCACTGCCATTTATTTAAAGACACCGGTGGCCTTGAGCAAGTGGCAGTAATTCCACATTATTAAGGCCAGGAGTTTGCTCTGAAAACCACTGTTGAATTTCTCAGGAAGTGCCACTTATTTAATCGATGCCAGGATCCCGGTTCCTAAGTTTACGAAGGAAACATGTTATACTCTCTGGTTCTTTCGGTAAAGTAACATAGCTAAAAATAATAATAAAAGAACACGACGTTTCGGTCGCAACACAAGCGTCCGTCATCAGGTGAGAAATAATGATCTGCTGTTGTGGCTTTATATAGGCACGGGGGGGGGGAGGGGGGGGGTTCGTAGAGTCGTGGCTGCAGGAGTTCACGGGGGGAGAGGGGGGAGGGTTTGTGGCGTGCAGGGACGGGTGAGAGTGAGAATCACAGTAGTTAAAACGTTTTAACTGCTATGATTCTCACTCTTACACCCGTGCTGTTTTCGTTTACTAATTCAAGCTCATGGACATGCTAATTTCTCCAGCCCCCAACCGTCCCTGTACGCCACAAACCCTCCCCCCCTAAACTCCTGCAGCCACGACTCTACAAACCCCCCACCCCTTCCCCCCCTCCCGTGCCTATATAAAGCCACAACAGCAGATCATTATTTCTCACCTGATGACGGACGCTTGTGTTGCGACCGAAACGTCGTGTTCTTTTATTATTTTTTCTATCTACATGACTTTACCAAAAGAACAAGAGTATGGATTTCTGCAGTCACAAAAGCTTCAAATAAAGATTGAAACATGTTATGTTTAATCCTTAATGATAAAAGATCCAATACCAATTCGTGGGGTACTCTTAGAACAGATCTTGGAGGTCAGGTGTCAACCGTGCAGTGGGAACTGACAAAGGGTAGCGAGCATCAACGACATTGACTGTGACGACCTCTTGACCTCACCATTTTTTTAATGAAAAAAATTGTTATTAACTAAGAATAAAAGCAATGGCGGAGCCAGGATTTTCAGATAAGGGGGGCAACCCCTCCAGCAATGAAAAATGATAGAGGAGTTGTTAGTAAGTAAGGAGTTGTCCCTTGCTTTTTATTCGACGCGCGTGCGGCGATGGCGCAGCCATCGATCGAGGGTCGAATTCGAACCGCGCCGTGTGATCGGCATCACGCTCGCTGAAGGTGTTGATGTCTTCAGGGAAGTCGTGTGCTGTATACGGCAACTGCGTGCAATTCTGTGAAACCGCTTTGCCGTTACTTATTGCCAATTATGGACTCAGACTATTGTTCTATCATCTCATAGAGTCCCTGGCACGTAATAATATGCTACACAGTGGCAGTTGCAAAATACCGATTTATTACTAATAAACCCTAATAATCCGATCGAAATTATGTATTTTGATCGGATCATTGGGGGGGCACGTGCAGGCCCCCCCTCCCCCCTGGCTCTGCCAGTGAGTACAAGTGTATTGACACGGACGAGCGATGAGGGGCAGGGGTACAGATATTCTGCAAACGACAATCCCGAGGCTAGGTGCCCACGGGGTAAGTGGAAGGGGGATTGAGCTCAGTGACCTATCTTGACCTCGACTTTAGCAATAGGCTCGCCAACTTACGAACCGTGGCTCAACATCGCCTTCGGACGCATAATTACACAGCACTTGTGAGTACCGCCAGCGTCCGGTGGGGCGTCCGGTGGGGCGGCCGTGCGTGCGGGCGGCACTCACGGAGAGCACGTTCTTCACAATGATGACGGTCACGTTGTAGGCGATCATGTAGTCCCACAGCAACAGCGTCCGGCGCAGCGGCTGCAGCAGCAGCTGCCCGCCGAACAGCAGGAAGTAGAAGCAGCCCACGAGGTAGCCCATGCAGAAGAAGCTGATGCGCATGGTGCCCGCGAAGAAAATCACGATGAGGACGAACCAGAAGAGGTAGCTGAAGAGGATCACCTTGATCATGTCCAGGTAGGACCTGGGAGAGGACGGCAAGAGCACGGGCCCGGTGGCTCAAGAGGTCGGAGTGCTGAGCCGGAGCCGCCGAGTGAATCGGGGCAGCCGCCCGTGATGTACGTACGTACGTATGTACATACGTATATATGTACGTACGTAGAACTTCTTTCGCACCGTACGTAGCCGACCGTGCTAAATCGGAGGTGATGAGCTGGCTGCCTAAGAGTGGCAAGCTGGTGGCTCTGAGCTCGGTCACCAATGCCATTACAAAGACAACAAAAAACCTTCACATTAAATATGCTTCTGCACTGAGTGCTGACCACCACTTGGCAAGGATGCGGAGTCCCCGCCCCGTGGCAGTACACCACCGTAGCACAATCGGGATGCATTTGCAGGCGTTCCATGCACACGCACGGAAAGAATAGCAACGCCATCCCCATGGTCGCCGCCACCCCCTTGATCTGAGGATCCAACAAATCACTCGAGACAGCAAGAGTGGCTTACGCGAACGCTGCCGCAAAAGGTCATGCGTTTGGCGCAACGGTCCCTCGCTGACGACGCACGATTGATGAGCGAGCGCACACGCGCGATTCACACTTCACGCACGTTTACGGTGGATTTCCGCTGCATTCAATGGGACGGCGTAAAACACGAATCGGCGAGGAAATGAGACGGTGACAACGTTGGCGCAAAAATATCGAAATGCTCTTTCTTGATCGCCATCGGCCGTCAGCTCCATGGACCCACTTGCAGTGGATGAAGTCGGGCACGGGGTTGTCGGAGCTGAAGTCGACGGCGTTGAGGCTCCAGCAAACCTCCACGTTGTCCCCGGCCTGCAGGCGCACGGCCGCACGGTTCTCCTCCTCGAACACGCACAGCTGCAGCGACGCCACCAGCAGCAGCATGCAGTCGTCTGAGGGGCCCTCGCGCGCAGGGCGCCGCGCACGGCCACGGGAGATGGAGGGGGGGAGGGAGGAAGGAACACGGAGGTGGAGGAGGTGTTTTCTGTGATAGCGAGGTAAGAAACTCGGTTGCTGAGGTGCCTTGAGTGCTTTGTGAGGTCCGGACACTGAAGAGCGCTAAATAAAAGTAACGATGCATTGTGGCATCAGGTGAGGAGGTGCGGTGACCGATGAGGAGATATGCCATCGCGTGAGGAGGTGCAGGAGTGGTAGGGGAGTAGTAGGTGTGGTTGCTCACAGATGATGAGGATGGGGTTGGGTCTCATTGCGAAGTCGGGAAAGAAGAGCCACTTGATGAGGTTGGAGTTGAAAGTGGCTCCGGCGAACCTCCATGGGTACTCTGGCACGCACAGTGTCCACGCGGCACGCACAGTGTCCACGCGGCACGCACAGTGTCCACACGGCACGCACAGTGTCCACACGGCACGCGCAGTGTCCACGCGGCACGCGCAGTGTCCACGCGGCACGCGCGGTGGGCACGCGGCACGCACAGTGTCCACACGGCACGCACGGTGTCCACGCGGCACGCGCAGTGTCCACGCGGCACGCGCGGTGGGCACGCGGCACGCACAGTGTCCACGCGGCACGCGCGGTGGGCACGCGGCACGCACAGTGTCCACACGGCACGCGCGGTGGGCACGCGGCACGCGCAGTGTCCACACGGCACGCACAGTGTCCACACGGCACGCACAGTGTCCACACGGCACGCGCGGTGGGCACGCGGCACGCGCAGTGTCCACACGGCATGCACAGTGTCCACACGGCACGCACAGTGTCCACGCGGCACGCACAGTGTCCACGCGGCACGCACAGTGTCCACGCAGCACGCACAGTGTCCACGCGGCACGCACAGTGTCCACGCGGCACGCGCAGTGTCCACGCGGCACGCGCAGTGTCCACGCGGCACGCGCGGTGTCCACACGGCACGCACGGTGTCCACGCGGCACGCACAGTGTCCACGCGGCACGCGCAGTGTCCACGCGGCACGCGCGGTGGGCACGCGGCACGCACAGTGTCCACACGGCACGCACAGTGTCCACGCGGCACGCACGGTGTCCACGCGGCACGCGCAGTGTCCACGCGGCACGCGCGGTGGGCACGCGGCACGCACAGTGTCCACACGGCACGCGCAGTGTCCACGCGGCACGCACAGTGTCCACGCGGCACGCACAGTGTCCACGCGGCACGCACAGTGTCCACGCGGCACGCACGGTGTCCACGCGGCACGCGCGGTGGGCACGTGCACAGTGGTGGAGGGGGGGTTACTCCTCAACAACTCATATAAAACTCACATTACAGATTACCTTACATTTTATTGTAGTAAAAATGCAATCATATTATTCGGACAGTATTTTACTTTTATCTAATCTGCGTACAGCGTAAGATAGAGGAACGATGACGATCCCAAAAGGAACGCCTCCTCCTCTTGCCCTCCTTAACCCTTCCCCATTCCGAGACGTTTGCAAGTGGCAGGGTGGGTGTCCCGTTCACCGCCGAATCTCGGCACGCGCGAGCAGTTCATCATTAATTTTATTCAGAGGGGCGTAGCGCCGCTGTTTATAAAGACATTGTTCTCACCGCAGAGAACCAGAGCGACACGACCGCACTCTATAATAGATGGCGCCAAACTGTGCCAGGCACCCTCCCGCATGGCCTTTTACTTCCGATTCCATTCCGATGGCGTAGGTTTTGATAACAGAATGTACAAACGTCATCAAAACGCAATCAGAAGAAACACTGATGACGTCCACGTACGTATTCGTACGTCATCATGATGAGAAAGGGTTAATCACCGACGTCACTCCGCGGCAGGGAGCCGCCGCGCCACACACGAGGCCGGCGGTCACCAGAGGCCGTTGCAAGTTAGGTTGCCCACGCTGACCCACCGGCTACGTGGCCCGGGGCCCGGCACCCTCACATTTCCACCCACCAGGACCCTCTGTAAGATAGCCTTTGTGGGAAACATTTTGAAGACGATGCTGCTGGGCAGGATGCTATCGACTCGAAAACGGTTTCGCGACGAATCCTTCGACCGTGAGACCACGGAAGAGAAAAACATCTAACGTTCGAGACATCGCCACGAACAAAGGTGCTCATGTAGCTTATCAGTTTAATATAAAGTCTTTTAGAATGTCAACTTGTAACGTGCCGCACAATATTCGTTCACTCTCGTAGAGGACAACTCAGAGGCGCAGGGATGCAGCCGCGCAAAGTGCCGGCGCTAACAAATGACCATGCTCTGCGGTCCTCTATATGCTGAGGTGTTATCAACCGATTAAAGAGTGTTTTACACGTGGGAGGAAACTGGAGCACCCGGAGAAAACCCTGCGCGTGCAAAGGGGAAACACTCGATCCCAAACGGATGGAACAACTCGAGTCCACGTTTTTGCTGTACCGCCTTTGCCTGGCAAGCCATGGTACGGTTCCTCGGAGTTTCGCAACGCTCGTGTGGCGATCCACCAACTCTTGCTGCAGCCCTCACGGGGGGGGGGGCGGGGGAGGGGGGGGTGGTACGCGACTGCCGAGCGAAGTAGCGGTGGCTTGCGTGCGCCCACCCTTGCAGAGAGCCGGGGGGATGCCGATGCACAGCAGGTACTGGAAGAGCATGAGCGACGCCAGGAAGAGGCAGTATCGCGGCCAGGCCTGCGCGATGGCCTTGCGGCGCCGGCGGGCCATGAGCGCCAGCATGCAGGCCCCGTGGAGGCACGCGTACAGGTCCATGCGCTGGCCCACCGTGTTCACCGCCGTCAGCAAGCAGATCTGGCCGCGGGCGAGCGGGGGAACGGGCGGGGGAACGGGCGGGGGAACGGGCGGCGCGTTCACACCCGGCAACTTGCTTCGAGGCCGAAGCGCTCGGCGGACACTTGAGACTTTCGTGCTGCAACCGTGAGACTTTGATGTCATCGTGGTATCTCACAGCCGTGCCCTACTACAATACCAATACAACAATTAACGCCCCTTTGTTAATTGTCCTGTGGCTTGGGATGATTGATATCCTGAAGTGGAAGATTAGTTGCTGGATAGAACCACATTTGTTCATGTGATTTGTAGCGTTGATCCTTACCCTCCCCACCCCCTCTTGTATCGACAGTTACATTTTAATGTGCAATTTAATTGAGGGACTGTGTGTTGTTGTCTTGCTGTGGTCTGCGACTGTTGTTTACATTTGGTGTTGACAAATCGGCAGGAATTTCTGTACTTATGCACTTCATTTATATGTATTTATATTCTTTGGGTCTTTCGGTAAATTCACGTAGATAGGTTCAAAGAAAATAACAAAAATCTACTTTGTTATTTTCTTTGAACCTATCTACGGGACTTTACCGAAAGACCCAAATAATATGATTTCCTGCAGTCGCGAAAGCTTTAAGTCACGATAAAGTTATTTATTTTTATTGACTTGCTTGCCTCTGTTCTGCACTATTGTATCGTTTGTTGTTGTTCATCCCGTGACGCTAATGGAACATCCGTGAAAAAGAGCTTTACAGCTCATCGGATTCCTCCTCCAGTTTACATAAAGACTCCGAATCTGAGTGCTTGGCAAGTGGCAGGAAACCGGAGTGCGTGGGGAAAACTAAACACGGACAAGGAGAAACAGCCACACGCTCCGCATGGACGGATTCGAGAATCCGCTAATTTACGGGCAGCGGCAAAAGCAGGCGCCACCGATCCGTGAGGACGCCGCGGCCGCCTGCACCGGACCCACGGAGTGGTCGCAGTACCTCGAGGCCCAACTTGTAAAACTAAACTAAACTATTTTTTATTTCACCAGGTAAGGCCCACTGAGCTATGCAGCTCTTTTTCAGAAGTGACCTGGCCACAAATGATAGCTCAACGAAGTGGCTTATCGTCACGTGGAAATGACGCTGATCATAAATGTGGAGGGAAAAACCCGGAGGACCCGGAGAAAAATCCACGCGACCGTCACGGGGAGAGAGACACGCAAGCTCCAAATATACAGCAGGTATCAGGGTCGGGATCGAACCCGCGACCTCCTACACACCAGGCGAGATAGTTAACATATCCTAGCCTGGGGTAATTCACATATATTATGCATGCACACCATGCCCGTACATCCTGCCGTAAAGTGGTGCAAACTGGTGAGCGAGCGGCGGCACGCTACCTCGAGGCCAAACTTGTAGAAGCCGTAGTTGATGAAGTACTTGATGCAACCCACGATGCCCTCGTCCAGGTTGCGCCGCGACACGTTTTCGAAGACGGTGCTCATGAGCGGCGGCGTGAGGCCGAAGTGCAGCCGGTGGTAGAGCTGCCGCCTCATCACCGTGATCTCCACCACCAGCAGCGCCAGCGCCACCACGTGGTGCTGCACAAGCAGGGTGGGGGGGGGTCATCGTGCGATGGCCACGTGCGCACCCAGCGGTATGACGAGCGAGGTCAAATTGCGATGGGGGGGGGGGGGGGGGGCGACTCGGCTCATCGTGTCTCTGGATTCGATAAAAAACGGTACCACTTGGTGAGGAACAGTGGGTGTCCTTGGCCCCTGGCACAGGAATGTGAAACCTCCACGACTGGTCCAGGGACATGAAATCGAAATGAGCAGCTGCCTCTCAATTCTCACTTCAGTAGCAACGATGGCCTGTTTTGAATAGATTCAACCCGTACGATTCTGGAGCGATCACGTGGGTAGCCAACAGTGGCCTGCCAACAGAATGCCGGGCCTCACCACGCCAAGAAGGAATTTCTTCCGCAGAGATGAAGAGCGCTGCTCTGTAGCAGAGGCACGGTGAGACCTTTAAAGTTCCCGGGTGGCAGCATAGAACATTGAAGGCAAACCTAATTATCCCAGGCTTATGCTATAGATGACGTGGATATGCCTTGTCTCCAGGTACAGGTAAAGATCTCTATGCGGTATATGAGGATGGAGACACTATCTCCGTTTGACAGGGAGGCTTTCGCGACCAATATTATTCATAATCAAGGTTTTTTGGGTTAGATCGCGTAAGCATAAATGTGTCGTGAACCCGCCACCACCCGACACAACCAACCAGTCAGGTTTGTCACGTAAACAAAACGTGTCAATTACTTTTGCTAATTCTGGCAAAATCGCCCGATGATGCTGGATGTAATTACCAGTGAAACGTAACAGGACTCAAAATTGTAATTTTCGTGGATTTACTCTCCAACACACCATTGTGTGTGTGGGCGCCGTATGGCGGTGTGTGGGGTGTGTATGGGCGCCGTACCCGGATGTAGGAGAACACCGGCCGTGATTTACGAATCCCGACCCAAGGCAGGGGATCAACGGGCCCAGCGTACAGTGTGGAGCCTCGCAGCAGCTCCTCCGTCTCCAACGACGTCTCATTCAGCAGCGGCTATCACGCCGCATCGAGCAAGCACATGAACACACACAGAGACACAAACAAAGACAAAGATCCCCCGTATAGCCTGGAACAGACTGTTGAGGCAAGTGCTGTTAGCTAGCACCTATGGAGGCCGGCACGGCACACGAGGGGGTGGGTGGCCAACACCACGCCCGGACGCCTTTGTCTCCCTAGTGGCGATGTTTACACATCACACCAAGTACTAATTTGAGGCTGAGTCGACCTAGGGGAGGCCCAGGACCTGTTCAGATCATCGTCACTGGTCTTGGCCGTGAGCGGGAATCGAACCCGGGTCACCAGGTTCGTAGCGCAGCGCACGAACCGCTACACTGCCGCTCCCCACACGGACACACAGACAAACACAGTTCAACCAAAGCGACGTTAAACATCTCCCCGACTTCATTTAAAACGCCATTGTTGTCAGCCGGCGTTATTGTCCACATTTGGCAAATGACTCAATAGGTATTACACACAGCAGCAATCATCACCCCCTGCTGGCAGACTAGCGCCCGTTTGGAGGTCAGGTGCTGGAGGTCACCTTGTGACCACATGGACAGCTGACACTGGGAACGCCCTTTCAAATGTTTGAGATGCGATGCGATGCGACGCAAGTCGCCGATCGCGTAGAATAAGCGGAGAAATGGTCTGGGTCCCAGCGTCGGGCGCGATGCGTCCCCGACTGACGCTCCGCACCACCGAGCAGTTGCTGGAGTAGTGGATGGGGTCGATGGTGTCCAGCTGGTAGATCATCTTGCAGATGATGAGCACGCACGCCCACACGGTGCTGATGGACGCGGCGAGCGGCCGGAAGCGCACGCATGGCAGCGCGAACACCCAGAGCCCCAGGAAGAGTGAGTTCATCAGGGACACCTGCACAGCGCGCACACACGGCCAGCGCCACCGCGTGCTCCACCACCGGCAGCAGCAGCAGGAGCTTCGATTCCTGCTACTCAGAGCGGGAGGTCGGCAAAACGATAGGTTCAGTGTCCCAAGCGATGACATCGCGAAAGAAGGGTTAACATGAACTGGATGCGGTTAGCATTAACCAGACATCAATAGCGAAGGGTTAACATGAACCTGATGCGGCGAGAGAAGGCTGTCGTCGTCACCTGATGCGTGTCCGTGTTGTACCATGTGTTGTTGTTTGTTCTCCCAAAGTGCTAGGTGCTTGATCTGCATAATAAGCGGCTACGCATTCTAGAGCCACCAACACACGTGTGTGTTGTTTACTTAGCACGTGGTCCTGTCGAGGTCTGAACGAGCGAGTGGGCTACTCGTCTGGAGATACGTTTAAAGCGAGGAGCTTTGTCATCGAGAGCAATTGGCCTGGCTTCGAACCATCTAGAGGAGGGGTCGGCAACCAAAATAACAAGAATATTTTTTTTATTAGAATTCGGTACGAAAAAATAACTCAATTTTTGAAGAGCCGCAATGCAATATGAATACGAGACGTTGAGGTTGTTAATGAATGACGTCACGATGCGGCCCTTAAAGAGCCACCGCACGCGGCTCCGGAGCCGCGGGTTGCCGACCCCTGGCCTAGAGGGTTGAGCCCTCAGCCGCCACCGACTGGAGGCGCGCGTGAACCGGACGCGGACGCTGGGCCACAGCCTGCTGCGTGCCAGTGCTCACGTCCTTGAGGGAGATCCAGATGATGTAGAAGGAGACGACCTTGATGATGTGCAGCTCCAGGATGCGCCAGGCCAGGGTCTGCACCTTGCGCAGAATGTCCACCGACTTGAGGAAGAGCACCGTCAGCCGGTCGAGCACCAGCATCCACTTGTTCCGCTCCTCCTCTTCCTCCTCTTCCTCCTCCTCCGTCTCCATTTCATCGTCCTCATCCTCATCCTCTTCTTTCTCTGACAAGGCAAAAGTGTGCACTCTGGATCATCAGTGCCATCTTTACTCATCACTGCATCGCGCGCATTCAGGTGCGCTTCTGCGGCTGTCTTGAACGCTCTTCCTTACGATATTAGAGAGCCCACTAGACCTATGCACTTTTTAATCATCTAGATTGATAAACTAATTTCTTTAGAACTGCTTTTGTGTTTAGTTTGTTGTTCTTCCCCCCGCACCTTTTGCACCTAATGGCTACATTAGGTGCAAAAGATCTATCCACTGCTGGATGAAGGCTTCCCAAGCCCCACAGTCCCGCAATGCAACGATCCACTGAGCACCGACACGCTCAAATCACGCGAGCCGATTTCATCGCTCCATTTTCACACTCGACGTCCTTCCGGTGCGTTCCCTCCCTTGGCTGTCGCTCCATTCTGAGTCTCGACGATCCGCCATCGTCCCTTCTGGTGACAGGTCCTGGGCACCACGGTGGCGAGCTCCCTTGCCTGCTATGCAGGTCACGGGTTCGATCCCGACCCTGGCGCCTGCTGTATATTCAGAGTTTGCGGTGTCTCTCTCCCCCTGATCGCGTGGATTTTTTTTCCGGGTCCTCCGGTTTGCCCTCCATGTTTGGAAACATGCGTTTAGAGTATTTGGCTGAAATAAATTAACACGTGATAAGCCACTTCGTTGAGTTATCATTTGTGGCCAGGTCACTTCTGAAAACAGAGCTACGTAGCTCAGTGGGCCTTACCTGGTAAAATAAAAAAAGTTTAGTTTTAGTTTACGTCCAGCCCCAGCAAACTTGCTTGGCTGAAGGCAAAATTATGCTGTGCTTACTCTGCTCAAGCATTTCACCTGCGTGTGTTCGCTAATCCCTATTTTTCTGTCTCTCGAAGTAATTCCAAACATGCACCTACCTCTCCACGCTTCAGTGCCTTCTTCACAAGTGTTTATTTATATCGAGGATAGCCCCAGCCATGGGAATGTGGAATGTTCCAGCACCGGCTCAGGGTCGCCGATGAATATAGCACTGCCCCACACTCGCTGGAGCAGGGGCACGGCCTCACACCCTCCAGGGTGTCTCTCATCAAAGGGCCCGCGTGTCAGCAATGACACGTCACACTCTCGGCTGGCACGGCCTGAGGTCCACACAGCTTCGGGTGCCTTTACAGTTGAAAATGGAGTGGTCACGTAAGACGATGGAATAAAAAATAGGTAATAGGAATGTGAAATTTCCACCACCGGCGGAGACAGCGTGGAGATTATGAGGGGAAAAGAGGGTCCCATAGACAGCAATGCAATCCCTGCCAATCCCCTGTGGTGATCCTTAAGAGGGTTTTTTTTGGTTAGATAAAGTAAACATAAACGTGTCGTTAAACCGCCACCACCACCCGACACAGCCAATTAGCACGGTTTGTCATGTAAACAAAACATGACAATTCGTTACTAGTTCAGCACACCGGTGTGTTGGAGAGTAAACCCACAACATTTATAATTCGAGTACGACGTTTCGCCATTACTTACAACCAGCCTGAACTTCTATTATGGATAATAATATTGATCGCAAAAGCCTACGTGTTAAACCCACTGTGGTTACTTTGCCATCGCGGGAGTCATAGGTGTCGCGTGGTTGGCATGGGCCCTGGTGGGAGGAACGACACACGCGGTGCTCTCTCCAACACCGCTACAACCTCTTCGGAGCACAGCACCGGAGCCCCTCCGGCTTGTGGGCACCGGTGCAGTTGCACTGCCTGCACGCCCCGTAGCCGCATCGTCGATCGTCGTCACAAGCGGCACCCGTCGTCGCAGCGGTGCGACGAATCTTACCTCCGTCGGGTGGCGGGGAATCCCGGTCCTCCGTGGAGTACTCCGCTGATTCCTTCTCGTCCACCGCAGCCTCTTCCCCGCCTCCCGGCTGCTCCCCTACCGCTCCATTTCTCTGCATGCCCACGTCCGGGAGGCTCCCCTCGTCCGTGGCAAGCCTGGCGCACACGGCACAGCTTGTAGTAGGAACGTGGCACGGCGGCAACGGCAGGCAGGCGACCAGAACATCCGCGGTTGACGCACGTGGCGCTCGGAGGGGGGGGGGGCGAGGAGATGCGTGGCGTGCGACGGTGGCGCGCTTGACCAATGGGTCGACGGTGCGGGGTGGCGGCAAGCTGCGGACAATCGACTCGATGACAATGCGAGGCCTTGCTCAATGAGTGCTGCGGTCAATGGCGATCCCCGAAAACAGGGAATGAATGCGTGGAATGGCACAAGGCGGTGAAAGAGAATGATGCGTGCTGCATACATACAACGTACGGCAACCCCTGTAGCGTGATCGTGTTCATGGGTGGGCATAGAACCACTCAGAGGGGGGGAAAGCCCGTGGTACGGGAACCAAAATCTAAGTAAATGGGAAAAGCGAAACACGACAGTAGGGCAGTGTTTCCATGGTTACGGTGTTCACGGCCCTAGCGAACTTTGAGAAAAAACCGCCACCACTGTTAAATATCGCATCAACTTTTTTTTCTACTTGACTGAGAATTTAAAAGCGGGCTGAAGCGAATGCTAGAGGACTGAAGTACAGAATATAAAGTTGGCATTGTACGTGTACTCATGCACACACATGAATGTAAACATCGGAATGAAAACAACAACAGTCCACCGAAGAGCCTTCTAAACTGTCACAGCAAATGCTGATGGTGGCTGTTCAGGCCGAAACAGCACACATGCCAGCACCGTGCATGCCTGGCCATCTCTGTCTCCCAAGTGTTGCTCTTGCCACACTACCCCACGCCTTGCCCATTATTCACTCTCGGGCTGAGCTAGCCTCGGGTGGGTCCAGGCCAAGTAGAGGTCACCCATTTCCCGTGCGGCCTTTAGAAATTCAACCTTAAGTTACTAGGATGTTACCACAATGCAGCCACAATGTGTTTAGTTTGTTGTCCTTCCCCCGCACCTCTGTTCAGCACGGTTGGCTACGTACTGTGCGAAAGAAGTTCAACATGCGTACATATAATCATCACGCCGCACGGCCGCTAAGCAGCATGCAGAGATCCCCGGAGATCTCCCCGCCTACAGACCAAACGGGCGAGTGCTGTCAGCAAGCACCCATCGAGTGTGGCGTGACACACGGAGTGGTGGTGTGGCCGGGAACCACACAAGGCTGAGTGAACCTTGATGAGGCTTAGGACAGGTTCCAACTTGCATGGCAGAAATCAAACCTAGGTTTCTGAGAAAGTAGCTCAGTGTGTTTGTTAGTGACTCCCGGGATCCTGTCAACTTCAGGAAATGGAGTGTGCGTCGCGAGCTTAAGAACTGATTTTAATTTAAGCGTCGCCACGCCCTGACGAACCGCTATGCCACCACTCACCCAGCGCCACACTGCGACGCACGAGGACAACAACAACAAGAACTGCGACGACAACAACAGCACAGCCCCGTGCAACGATGCACCGGGAACGTGGTGGAATGGAAGAGTCGAGGGGGGTTTGGCTCATGAACGTTGGCTTGGAGGAACCTGCTCAAGCCAATTCATGGCACGTACACACACTTACTGGGGACGCCTTTTGCCTAGATTTTCCTTGATGCTGGACACACAGGGGAGAGCGTTAGTGAGAGACGGAGGGGGGGCAGGGAGTTACCAGCAGAAGCAGCAGCACCCCACACCCCAGCAGCACCCCACACCCCACCCTCACACCCCACACCCCACACCTCACACCCCACACCTCACACCTCACACCTCACACCCCACACCTCACACCCCACACCTCATACCTCAGCAGCACCCCACACCCCACACCCCACACCCCACACCTCATACCTCAGCAGCACCCCACACCCCACACCTCACACCCCAGCAGCACCTCACACCCCACACCCCACACCTCACACCCCACACCCCACACCTCACACCCCACCCCCCACACCTCAGCAGCAGCAGCAACGCGAGCCAGCCTAGACGAGGCCTGATCCTCGCAGGACTAGTCTAGCTCCGCTCAACAAGTCCACTTTATGTTTGCTTATAAATATATATTTTTGTTTAAAGGCCATTTTCGCAAGTCCGGTACTTATAGAAGGGGCGTGCACAAAGTCATTTAATTACTTTTAGTTCGTTTTTTCTTGGCCCAATAAGGTTTATTCAGTTCCATTGTAAGAACCTATCTTCAACATCATCCATTACTGAAAATAGCATAATATATGTGACAGTATAATTCTGGACAGTTGTATTGTTTAAAGCGTTTATGTGACGTAGTAATACTTTGTTTATATTTGCTCGTTTAGGTGCACCCTAGCTTGATTCGTGCACCAAATATCAGGTACAAGGGTTAATTTGAAAAAAAATATCCCATCATTGTAATAACGAGCAAATTTTCATTTAAATCGAATTGGTCTGTGAGCTTCATTATTTCACACAACTGTGATGTCACTAAGTTGTGTAGCGTGTCCGTGACGCGCGATGTGTCAGCGCGCCAGCACCGTCGCTTAGGGCCAGCCTCGCCGTGCATTGTGGGTAGCCGCGGCGCCCAGTCGGATCAGTATTGTTGGAGAGGTGACCGCTGCTGAATTAGCAGGGTGGGTGGCAGAATGGGAAACACTCAGTGAAGTGTACCCTCCACTCTGGGTTCAGTAGAGACGCACACTTTTTTTTCAGGTGTGGTTCTGCGGCCGTTGGGAATGATCTTCCTTACAATATTAGGAAGCCACTGGAGCTATGCACTTTTACATCATCTAGATTAGAAACTCATATCCTAAGAACTACTTTTTTGTGTTTAGTTTATTGTCCTTCCCCCGCACCTCCGATTAGCACGGTTGGCTACGTACGGTGCGAAAGCTCAACATAAAATGCAATACACTCGTCCCATTTTTTCAAAGAGAGACACCGTCCGCTCTGGAACCGGGATGGCGAGGTTGATGATGCTACTGAAGTTGACGGCGAGGACAATACAATATTTTAAAGCCTCTCTGCTCAACAACGTGGGTTATTAACGCTGCTGAGCCACTTGCTAGAAGAGACTTCACGCACTTTGAACCCCACAGTTCCCTTCAAGGCTACGTTCTGGCTTGCGTTGCTCGAGAAACATGCAACTGCCACTTGCATTCCCAGAAGCATGCCAAGCACCCGCGCACCGCTCTCTACTCGTGCACAGCATGCCGGGCACGTGTGCTACGTGCAAAGCACACCGCGGTTGTCCAAACGTGAAACCCCGTTCAGAACATGCCGTTTAAACCGCGAGAGACAGGGGGGTGAGCAAGGTAAACGATAACAACAAATCCAAGTCCAGGTGTTTCCCCCGGCTTAAATTAACATTAGAGCAGCGCTCATCCCCTTTGGCGGCCCTGAGCCAGGAGTGGAAATTACACATTACTATGGCAGGGGCTGATCGATATGCATATGACGAGCAATTTTGGCAGTACTATAAATGTAATAACGTGCATAAAAGGATAGAGGTTTAAAAGAGAGTGGTAGAGAGAGACTGACTAAGAGAGACAGGCACAGATCGAGGATGCAGCATAGCGAGTGAGTGGATTACCCACCTATTGACTAACACATAGACTCTCCCACTGACTTTCGAGTAGCTAAGCAGCAAGCGGAGGAAGGGAAAGAGAGACAAAAAGCACACACACACACCAGTTAGCCACACGAGCACAGCAACACACGGCCAAAGGTGCCCCTCGTCATCGTCACAGGTGACCGGGGTGCGTGCTGTCTGTGAACATTGGTGAGCGAGCACGGCAAGGCGTTTGGCCAACGTCCCAATATTTCCAGCTGCCTTTGTTTCCCCGGTGCTCACGTTCACGCACCAGATCAGACACTTCATTTCGGAGTCGACCAAACCCAGCGGGTGGTGGAGAAGGACCCGACCAGATTCAGATGCACATCGGGACTAACGCTGTGCAAGACCATTCGTGTTGTATTGCGCTAAGGCGGTGGGGACCCGCCGGTACCGTTGCTCCCAACGCAGCAGCACCCACACCGACAGCACCCACACCGACAGCACCCACACCGACAGCTTTACGCGAGGCGTTAGGAGTCGTCAGACTTGGCGAAAAAAGCGCAGCCGCTTATTCGGGGTTAGGCAAAGCACACCCCCTACCCCCCCCACACTTTGACAATGGCTCATTCCACGCGGGCAAGCGGCACGCGTCGGAACGCGTACAAGGCAAGGGGGCGGGAGATGTGAGGTGATAATATCGGAGGGGTGTTACGTCTCAAGACAACGCTCCGCTGTGGACACACAAGCGCAGTGCGCTGAATCAGCGCTGGCTTTGAAGAAGAATGGGGAAACGCACGTAGCTTTCGGAGCCGCGCGCGCATTTGTGTGTGTGCGCACACGTGTAGGTTGCAGCTGTGGTGCCTGCATGCGTGGTGAGTGCTGTGCAATGCTGTGTATGCACGGTACGCATCGCGTGCATCGCTATGCGAACATTTGTATGTGCATGTATGCTGAACTTCTTTCGCACCGTACGGAGCAAACCGTGCTAATCGAAGGTGTGATTTGTGTGTGAAGCAATATTGTGTTCAGAAGATATGACATGCGTGTGCACTTTGCATGCGTGTTCTGCGTGTGTGTATGCATGTGTGCTCGTGCTGTGCATGTTGTGTGCGTCTGTGCGTACTCCGCGTGCGTGCCCTGCGTGCGTGCGTGCTCTGCATGCGCGCCACCTGTAGGCAACGCCCTGGTTAGCGCGGGCGGCGCTGTCCAGGTCGGTGAGCGCCAGGAAGCTGTCGTGGAAGTAGTGCAGCTGCAGGATGCAGCAGAGCAGGAAGGCGGTGGGGATGAGCACCTGGGTGAAGAGCTCCGACACGCTGAACTGTTGCAGACCCAGATCACGCAGCCTGCGGCCGACACAAAGGTGCCCCGCAGGACGTCACAGACTGCTGTGGCAAGTGCTGATTGCGTGCACCGGACACGCCGGAGCGCCTTTGTCTCCTCGCTGAGGCGACGCACCGGGTACTCGTTTAATGCCGAGTCGACTTAAGGGAGGCCCAGGATCGGTTAAAATTTACATCAGTTGACGTTGGCCATGAACGGGAATCGAACTCGGGTCGCCGGGTTTGTAGCGCGAGCCGCGCTAACCGCTGCACCACCGATCCCAACCTAAAGACACGTGCGCGGTATCGGACTCGCATGCGCGCACACAGATTCTCCCACAATCAGAATCTTTACTGAGACTGGGGGAGGATTCCGATGAGCTATGAAGCTCTTGTTCACAGATGTCCAGTACGGGGCGCTGGGTCAGCGAGTTACATCGGCAAACAATACAAACACACGATAGGAGTTCTAAATAGAGAATATGGTAACCAAGTCACTAAATATAAATATCTGTATAAATAAATGTTAGAGATAATTATATATGATTTACTTTGTTATATAAGTCCGATTTATCAAGACCAGGCAAGCGAGCAAAAACAAAAAGGTTCCAGACCACACCAAGATAACACCACAGCCCCCACCCCCCCCCAGGTGGGTAAAGAGACAGCCCCCCCCCCAAGTGGATAAAGAGACAGCCCCCACCCCCCCAGGTGGGTAAAGAGACAGCCCCCCCCCCAAGTGGATAAAGAGACAGCCCCCACCCCCCCCCAGGTGGGTAAAGAGACAGCCCCCCCCCCAAGTGGATAAAGAGACAGCCCCCACCCCCCCCAAGTGGGTAAAGAGACAGCCCCCACCCCCCCAGGTGGGTAAAGAGACAGCCCCCCCCCCCCAGGTGGGTAAAGAGACAGCCCCCCCCCCCCAGGTGGGTAAAGAGACAGCCCCCCCCCCCCAGGTGGGTGAAGAGACAGCCCCCCCCCCCCAAGTGGGTAAAGAGACAGCCCCCCCCCCCAAGTGGGTAAAGAGACAGCCCCCACCCCCAAGTGGGTAAAGAGACAGCCCCCCCCCCCCCCAAGTGGGTAAAGAGACAGCCCCCCCCCCCCAGGTGGGTAAAGAGACAGCCCCCCCCCCCAAGTGGGTAAAGAGACAGCCCCCCCCCCCCAGGTGGGTAAAGAGACAGCCCCCCCCCCCAAGTGGGTAAAGAGACAGCCCCCCCCCCCAAATGGGTAAAGAGACAGCCCCCCCCCCCAAGTGGGTAAAGAGACAGCCCCCCCCCCCAAGTGGGTAAAGAGACAGCCCCCCCCCCAAGTGGGTAAAGAGACCGCCCCCCCCCCCCAAGTGGGTAAAGAGACAGCCCCCCCCCACCAGGTGGGTAAAGAGACAGCCCCCACCCCCCAAGTGGGTAAAGAGACAGCCCCCCCCCCCAAGTGGGTAAAGAGACAGCCCCCCCCCCAGGTGGGTAAAGAGACAGCCCCCCCCCCCCCAGGTGGGTAAAGAGACAGCCCCCCCCCCCCAGGTGGGTAAAGAGACAGCCCCCCCCCCCAAGTGGGTAAAGAGACAGCCCCCAACCCCCCAGGTGGGTAAAGAGACAGCCCCCTCCCCCCAGGTGGGTAAAGAGACAGCCCCCCACCCCCCCAGGTGGGTAAAGAGACAGCCCCCACCCCCCCCAGGTGGGTAAAGAGACAGCCCCCAACCCCCCAGGTGGGTAAAGAGACAGCCCCCCCCCCCCCAGGTGGGTAAAGAGACAGCCCCCCCCCCCCCAGGTGGGTAAAGAGACAGCCCCCCCCCCCCCAGGTGGGTAAAGAGACAGCCCCCCCCCCCCAGGTGGGTAAAGAGACAGCCCCCCACCCCCCCAGGTGGGTAAAGAGACAGCCCCCCCCCCCCAGGTGGGTAAAGAGACAGCCCCCCCCCCCAGGTGGGTAAAGAGACAGCCCCCAACCCCCCAGGTGGGTAAAGAGACAGCCCCCACCCCCCCAAGTGGGTAAAGAGACAGCCCCCCCCCCCCCAAGACGGGGGGGCCGTGCCTGAGCGGGAGCGGCACACTCACTGCGAGTCCGAGAGCCGCGTCATGTTCCTCCACAGGCCGGGGAAGGACTCGAACTGGTAGGTGTAGATGAAGATGGTGACCAGCATCGTGTAGGACACCACCACCATCCAGAAGTACTTGAGCAACCGGCGCCACCAGTTATAATGCACCTGCACAACATACACGCGTGCGCGCACACACACAGAGACAAAGATCCCCTACCTAGCCTCGAACACACTGTAGGGGCAAGTGCCGCTAATGTGATGTCGTCATAATTTGTTCATATTTGCTTGTTTAGGGTGGTAAGGACCACTCATTTAAGGCCGAGTCAACCTAGAGCGACGGCCAGGACCGGTTCAGATATATAATTCGTCACTAACGTTAGCGACGGCTAGGGAACGACCCCATCTGGCCACTCACGCGATCCGTGAGTGCGGCCCGGCGCAGTCTACGAGCAAGGTGTCTCTCGAGAAGCGGCAGCCGCTCCCACCGTCTCACCGCCTACCGACTCGCCACCCGGGCAGCGGGACGCCACCCGGGCAGCCCGACGCGCCACCCGGGCAGCCCGACTCGCCACCCGGGCAGCCCGACTCGCCACCCGGGCAGCCCGACTCGCCACCCGGGCAGCCCGACTCGCCACCCGGGCAGCCCGACTCGCCACCCGGGCAGCCCGACTCGCCACCCGGGCAGCCCGACTCGCCACCCGGGCAGCCCGACTCGCCACCCGGGCAGCCCGACTCGCCACCCGGGCAGCCCGACTCGCCACCCGGGCAGCCCGACTCGCCACCCGGGCAGCCCGACTCGCCACCCGGGCAGCCCGACTCGCCACCCGGGCAGCCCGACTCGCCACCCGGGCAGCCCGACTCGCCACCCGGGCACCAGCGGCAAACGCCTGGAGCGGGCGCGGGGCGGCACCTGGTAGAGCGCCACGCAGCCGAGGCACAGCGCCATGTAGATGATCTTGTAGGTGACGAGGCGGCCCTGGAGGCCCACGAAGAAGAACATCCCCCCGCACACGTAGATCCAGTACTTGACGAAGAGGCCGCGCACCAGGGCCCCCAGCACGTGCATCAGGTTGCTGCCCGCCTCGCCCTCGCCCTCTGAGCTCGCGCGCACACGAAGGCGAACGACGAAGACGAACGACAAAGATCAATGACAAAGGTCCACCGCATAGCCGCACGGACTGTTGGGGCAAGCGCTGCGATTGAGAGCATTAAACTAGAGATTTTATTTTACATGGTAAAGCCCACTGAGCTGCGTAACTCTTTTTCAGAAGCAACCTGGCCACAAATAATAGCTCAATGAAGCGGCCTATCATGTGGAAATTTATAGCAGCCAAATACAATAGTCTTTAGATAGAAAAAATAATACAATATCACGACGTTTTGATCGCAACACAAGCAATTGTCTTCAGGTGTGTTGCGATCGAAACGTCGTGATATTGTCTAATTTTTTCTATCTACGTGGCTTTACTGAAAGACCCAAAGAATATGAATTCCTACAGTCACGAAAGCTTTAAGTCAAGATTCAGCCAAACACTCTAAACACGTGATGTTGATTATAAATATCGAGGGAAAAACCGGAGGACCCACAGAAAAATCCGCACGAGCGCGGGGAAAGACATGCAAACTCCAAATATACAGCAGCAGGCGTCAAGGTCGGGGTCGAACGCACGACCTCCTGCATACCAGGTGAGGTTGTTAACATCTCGCTACCGCGTACAAGTCGGTGGTGCGACCGCCACCACACACGGCCGCATGTCTCCCCAGTGGCGGTGTTTATTCACCGCACACCAGATACTCATTTGGGACTGTGTCGACCTAGGAGAGGCCCAAGCCCAGGACCAGTTCAGATGCTTATCGCCAATGTTGGCCATGATCAGGACTCAAACTCAGATCGCTGCGTTGGTAGCGCAGTGTGCCAGCGACTACACTACCGGCTCCCCACACGCACACAGAGGGACAGACGACGATGACACTGGAGCTGCGTTGACCCCCGTGTGGGGTTGACCTTGCAGCCACTACGGTAGGAGAATTCCCTGCAACTGGCATGACACGCAATCATCATCATCATCATCACCGCCACCCCCATTACCCCCATCATCACCTACACCACCACAACCACCACCACCCACATCACCCCCCCTCCCACCCCGTCCGCGTACCCCCGGGTGGGGGTGGGGGCTGCTCCTTCTCGGGCTGCGCCTCCAGGCGCTCCTTCAGGCGCTGTCGCAGCAGGAGCCAGAAGGTGGCGTTGTACAGCAGCTGCATCACGTGACACCACGACGACATCACATCATCGCCATCATCATCGTCATCACATCACTACGTGCAGGCTCCACGCTGGGGAGGGTGGCTGCTGTTCGCAGATCATCGGAGCAGGAACCGGATATCCCTTATTTTTACTGCGCTTAAAGCGCGTAATCTGACTACTGTTACTTGTACATGATGGATCACTTTAAGGATTACCTTCGTTTAAAAAAATAACTCACGTAAGAAAGTCCTCGTCAGCAATGCAGGGCAATGGAAATAGTGCAGCAGCCAATGCACGAAGATCTCACAACAAAGCCTGTGTGTATGTGCCGGTTAGTCTGTGCGAGTGTGCATGGTGCGTGCCGGTGTGCTTGGTGCGTGCCGGTGTGCGTGTGTACCTTGCTGCCGAGAGACACGCAGGGGATGTCCTCGCGCACCAGGCCAATTGGCGCGAACTCCACCACCCCGACCTACGCAGCACGGGGACCGCGAGCGGCGCACAGGGACAGCCACCGTGTTTCTCCAGCATACGGCGCTCACGATGATAGCACAATCTAACTCTCTAAACTCAAACTAAACTATTTTTTATTTGACCAGGTAAGTCCCACTCAGCTATACAGCTCTTTTTCAGAAGCGACCTGGCCACAAAATGATATCTCAACGAAGTGGTTTATCACGTGGAATTTTACAATAGCCAAATACTCCAAATGTGGAGGGGAAAACCAGAGGATCCGGAGAAAAATCCACGCGACCATGGGAAGGAAACGCAAACTCCAAATATACAGCAGCAGGCGTCAGGGTGGGGATCGAACCCACAACTTCCTGTATACCAGGCGAGGTAGTTAACATCTTGCCACCGTGGCGCCCTGTCTGTGGGACCATGCGTGTTCTTCAGTTAACTCGCAGAGATTCGAGTGAGTTTCACCGTCTGGTTTGCTTAAGGAGATCTAGGCGACGAATGAACGAGACGGATGTCAATGTTTGACGCTTATTTCATTGTATCTGTTGTAATCCCTCGTTGTGAGTTGCATAGTCAACTCGTGATCTTCACGGAAACCCAAACTTTGAGTCACGGACTTGTTTGCCATGCAAGAGAGTTGAGTAAAAGCGAGCAAAAGCAATCCGGCTACGACGCGCAGAGACTCCTCGGGGCGCTGCCCGGTGCGAGGCCCACGGCAGAACTGAGCATTCTTCAGCAATTAAGAGCATCGTGTAAAGAAATGCCCTTGTAAGGTCAAGTGGCTTTTAAAGCTCACTTTGATCGCTTGCAATATATTTCCCTTGACATATTTTTACATGGCCGTGATCCAGCCTTTGGAAAAAATAAAATCTGTGTCCCTTAGACGGCCGCCTACCGCCGACTCCGCGCGCGGCCGGGGATTGGATCCCACGATCCATGGTGTGGCCCCTGCGCCCCCTTTGTGTACGCTTCTCAATTCGACTTTTATCTTCAGACCCAGCATCCAGAATTCCCCGGTTCAGTGAAGGTCTGATTGTGTACGGTTATTTAGTAATTTATTCTATTTTAGATTTTATTATTATTGTTACGGGTCATTAGCCAATTTGGCCAGGGCTATGGCTGCTGGCACACAGTGGCTAACGTTTCGAGTAACTCATTGCTAAAATCAAAAACATCACTACTGCTCAACTCAAGATTGTCACCGACACGGGCCGGTGATCCTGTAACACGGACCTCATGCTCAGTGTGTGGTCAGATGATGACTATTACTATTATTGTTGATATTGTTGTTTAGCGAGTACCGAGTGATTTGACCATCGTTACGTGTGAGCTCATTTGAGGACAGAAGTCACCAACTCAGATTGTGGAGATTGCGTCACATGGCCCAGCGGTAGCGCGCTCGCCGCAGAGGTTCGCGGTCCGAATCCGGCAGGCCGCCCTGGTTAATACAGCGGCCGCGTTCACCATAAACTACTCCGCGTCGTCTCCTTCCCTTCCCAGTGGACATTACAGATCCCTCGACGTCACTCGACTCGAGGAGGCCGTTGCGTGCCGGCATTGCGGTGCAAATCAGCGCGAGCCAGCCAGCCGGTCAATACGGCTCTGAGTTAGCGAGTAAACGAGCGAGAGGGTGACTATGCGAGCGAGCGCGTCTCCCGCTGGCGGAGCGCCGTGCCGGTACCCGCCTTCAGCGGCAGCTCGTGCTCGTTGAGGCGCAGGCTCCACACGTAGGCGAGCAGGCAGAGCACGTTGCCGTAGGCCACGAGGAAGGGAGCGCTCAGCATGGTGTAGTGGCGCCGGTTCCGCATCATCCAGATGAGGCACGACCACAGCAGCAGCACGAAGGTCAGCCAACTGTGGTAGGTGATGCTCCACGCCTGGGACACGAGTGCAGACACGCGCGGGGGCACACGGTCACACGCAGATGCACATACAGGTTCACACGCGAGTACACAGATATTCCCATTTTCCTAGTTGTTGAGGCGAGTGCTGTGAGCGAGCACCTATTAAGGGCAGTACGGAAATAATGTTTGCACGCCACGTCGGGTACCCGTGTAAGGCTGAGTCGACCTCGGGGAGGCCCAGGACTGGTTTAAGTATTCACCACTGATGTTGGCTGGGAGCAAGAATCGAATGTATATATATATATATATCTGTGTATCCACTAGCATACAAACACAAAGATCACCCGTGTAGCCTTAATAGACTGTTGGGGCAAGTGCTGTTAGCGAGCACCTATGAAGACCGGCACGGCACACATGGTGTTGGGTGGCCTACACCACGCCCGGCCGCCTTTGTCTCCCCAGTGCTCTAAGGGTCAATTGGCCTTGGGGAAACTCAGGACCGGTTCAGATCCCATTTTCCAATGATATTCGTCACGGTCGGGAATCAAACCCAAGTTTCCGAGACTAGCGCAGTGTGTGAACCACTGAGCCAACGCTTCCCATGAACACACACACGCCCACGCGCGCACATTGACGCGCACACGCCGAGAAGGAGGGAGCTATAAATTCAGATCATTTGTATCCCTCGGTGGAGTGATTACGGTTTGGAGGGCACTCGCCGAGTTCCCACTTGACCCGCCGTGACTTCCTGCCGGCTCTCGAAACCTCCAGGGCCCGCCCGGGACGAGGCGGGAGGACGACGAGGTCACGATGAGGATGGGCAGGTGGCCAGCGCACGCCCGGCTCATAGTTTCCACACGGAGAGCCGTCTCGCGCCGATAGCAGCGCGGGTCGCGCCACGCCGTCGCGTCACGGCTCAGACACGCAACGCGCTCCGTGTTAAAAATAACACCGCCACCTCCTCTTGCACAAAGTTCGTCTGCGGTGGCGACTTTGTTCAGACAAAGGAAACGCTCTCCCGCCACACGCGTTCGGCGGGGAAACGCGCGCAGTCGTGGTCGCTCGCCGGCTCATCCTGGCAAAATCTCACGTGGAGACATTATCGTGCAGCACCGTGTAACCAGCCTCCACCCCCCCATCGAGAATGGGCGCACACTGCCCAGCGAGTTTCACCTGTGCCAAAAATAAACCGAACCAAACCAGTGAACGTTACTCACACACGCACGCACACACACACACACGGGGAATGTCGCGATTTTGGTTTCCCCAACAACAACCGCCATTCGCCACTAAGTGGAGGTGACTTTACCACGGCAACTGTGCTAGGCTATGTGCACGTTAAGGCCATGTGAAGTGTCGGGTCACGGGACAGACCCAGGTGCCATGGGTGGACTGACTCAGATAACTGGCAGGTGCACGAGCTATACTCCCTACAGTCGCAGCAGCAGCAGCATCAGCCCCACGCGCCAGAACCCACAGGCCAATCACCACTCACACGGAGACCCGCCACTCCACCGCGGCCGTTTCACACTGCGCTGTGAGTGAGCGAGTCAGTATGTTCGTACGTCTGCAACGTGTATTTGCGGAGAGGTGTATGTGTGCGAGGTTTTGTACCTACGACAAAAAAAAATATGGCATTGCAAAGGACAGCGACATTTACGTGGTGAAGTGACGCACTTCAGAAATTACAACGGCCGATGTGTGACATTCTGTTTATAATTTTGTCTCTCTATGGATTTGACCTAATTACTCGGAGTCGGTCCAAGTCTCCCACCTCCTGGAGCAAGCGCTTGATGTTAACTGTGTTCTCTTGTCTGCCATCGACCTCGTCCTCTCGTCGGCAATGTCAGAGTGTAACTGACATTGCGCCCGGCGCTGCCCGTGCTCACGCCATGCGCTAAATAGAAGACAGGAACATCCCTGGCCATCTGCAGTCTCTCTGTGAGAACCACGCTGCCTCTGCAATGTCATACGTTAATATATTTACCCATTCACCAAAATCTACCTTTGTTCTTACATCAGTAATATCAAGGTGGTGGGGATGTGTCTCTGGTGCACATGGCATGACAACGACGACGACGACGATGTCATCTTAGCAACAACAGGACTTTGCTAATGACAGTCCAGCATCAGCTTCATGCATCAATTGGATTGAGCTTTTCTGTGTCCCCACGATGATGATGATGATGTGGCTTGCCCCTGCTGCACGCCGGTCTGTTTGTGTGTGCAGTCTGTACTCCTATAACACGGTCGTAGCTGAATTCCTAAAGAACATTGCGTTATGGAAAAATGGCATTATAATAAAAGATATAGGTTAAAGCAAGTCCACGATAACATGTGAGATGCGTACGCAGGCCGAACAAAGACAGAAGCATCCAGCAGCATCCCAAAGCCTCGTGTGATGCTACGTCGAAGCAGCCGTATGACCGCTTATTCCTACTCGCACTACGACGTAGTTCCATTCGCTTGATCACGTTATATCTGATTCGCACCCGCGTGATGAAAATGTGTTCCCAAATACATTAATCGCGTCAATATATCAAATTCGCCGTTATAGGAGAACAGACTGCATCACAGACGCGTACTTGTCAGCAGGTTGCCAGGATGCAATGGGGCTTGGCTCAGGAATATGTTTGTGTTTTTTTTCCCACCAACGGGCGTGAGAGTGAGACTGTGGACAGACACCCCGTGGGATCCACTCAAGGTGAGCTCACCGAGTTTGGCGACAGCTGCTGATGGAGCAGCTGGAAGCCCGCCCGGGTGTTGGATGGAGAGGGGGGATGATGTCTAGAAAAATCAACCCTCCTCAACTAGACCCAAGACAAAGAGCTGCCTCGTGGCTCAATCAGGCGGAGTGCCAATTCTGCTTGAGGATGACGATTATTACGACGATCGTGACGATGAAGGTGGAAAGAACAATTGTTACATGTCCAGCCAAATTTTTTTGTTTATCCACTGCTGAATGTGTACTTCCCCATGTCTTGCAGGCCAAGAGGTATATTTGACCGTACTTCACCATGCCGGTCATCGTGGGTTTATGAAGGTGCAGAGGGTTGCATAACGCAGCAATGGATTTTTCTGTGCTGCTCTCCCGCCACGCCTCCCACATCTGTCTTGCGCGCAAGGTGGTGGGTCGCTCATCCAGGCACCGTCCACACTCAACCTGCTTAGCTTCCGAGATGCGACGAGGACGGGTGCATTCTGGGTAACTTGTCCAGAATGCAAGCCACGCAAAACAACCCAAATCTACCGCGCAGAGATGGATACCGCGTGACGAGCGTGGCGCGCAAACTGCTAGACGATAAAAATACGAATCCGAAAAAAAAAATGGAAATAAACCGCTCTCAGCATTGCTGAAGCGAGGCCACGGCGGGCCTGCGGAGTCGTGGGCCGTGGGCCGGATGCCATCCCCTGGCCCCGCGGGGAGTGGGGGTGAAGTATGGTTGCTCGGACGCCGCTTGAAGCTGAGCCCAGGGAACCGCCCCATGGCGGCATTCTCACCACACGCTGCCCGGGGGCCGTCGTGGCCGCTCGCACGGCCCCATCGCACACAGCGGCAGCCGCGGGGTCACTCACACAGCCAGTCTCACAAACTCACAGATACGCACTCACAGATACACACACACACAGATACACACTCACAAACTCACTCACACACTCACAGATATACACTCACAGATACACACTCACAGATACACACTCACTCACACACTCACACACACATACTCACTCACACACTCACTCACACACTCACTCACACACTCACAGATACACACTCACTCACAGATACACACTCACTCACACACTCACAGATACACACTCACTTACACACTCACAGACACACACTCACTCACACACTCACACTCACACACTCACACAGCCAGTCTCACACACTCACAGATACACACACACTCACACACTCACAGATACACACTCACTCACACACTCACACAGCCAATCTCACACACTCACAGATACACACACACTCATACAACAACAACAACCGCCATTCGCCACTAAGTGGCGGTGACGTCACCACGACGCTTGTGCCAGGCTATGTGCATGTTAAAGCCACGTGAAGTGTAGAACGCCCGCTGGCAGGAGGTCACGGGGCAGACCCAGGTGCCATGGGTCGATTGACCGAGATGCACCACCTGTGCCCCCCACTGTGCCAACTTGCTGTGTATTAGCCATCCGTCGCTCCGCTCGTTGTTGTGAGAGTCACTCCGCTGTCCTCCGTTGTTGCTGGAGGGTGACTGCCTCCAACTGCCCAGCAGAGTCCTTCACGAGCCTCCTCCACGGAGGCTGATCTCGATACCACTCATATCAGTCCACTGAGCTCCACGTCCTCTTGTACCACATCACTCCGTCTCTTCTCTAGCCCGTGTCGTGCCCGTTAAGCCCCCTCTATCTGGCTGAACAAAAGTTGTTTTGGCATGCGGTGGCTGGGCATGTGGGCTACATGACCCAGCCAACGCAGCCTTGCCTGCCGGAGGAGCTCACCGATGAGACTTTGTCTAGATCTTTCAAGAATTTGTGAGCTCCTCACACAATCCAGCCTGATTAAACCCAGGATGGATTGAAGGCAGGCTAGTCTAAATGTTTATAACCAGCAAGGATGTTCCATTAGGGGGGTTCACGTTTCACAAGCATAGAGAAGGGAGGGCATGACCGTGGCTTAGAAGAGAATGAGGAGGCTTCGTGTGGAGTGACAAACCAAGTAGCTTCAACACAACGTTACACAGCCAATGAAAAGATAATGCCGCTCGACTGATTCGGAGTGAGACCTCTGCTGTCAAACTGAAGCCGGTCATTAACACACTTCCCAGGAATGGAAAACTCTCCACTCTCTCCACAACTGCCCTATCACCAATTGGCAGTTGAGGGGGTGAAGTGTTTGATGGCACAAAATACCCAGGCAGGTGCTTAGTTTTGGTGGGGCTGATGGTAAGGCCCCACCTCTTAGTGGCACACTCCAGGTTCAACAGCAGTGCCTCCAACTCCTTCTCTGAGTAAGCAGCAATCACCAGATCATCAGCATACATAACATGGTTGACCAATAGGGAACCATCCCTTGACAGCACCCGGCCATCGTTCAGCCTCCCATTGTATTTGTGTAGTGACTTAAATGATGTCATAGGAGTGTTACTGTACATCTGGAGCCTCTCTCTGGGACCAGAGTGAGTGCGGCATGCGAGCGGGCCCTAGGGGGCATAGTCCTGGTGACGGCCTGAGAGAGGGCACATGGTAGTCTGAGTGAACCCGAGAGGGCACGTGACCGGGACAGGGTAGTGAGGGGGGCCCGAGGGGGGCTTGAGGGGCACGTGACGCTCGGTCGAGGCCTTCGGGAAAGGTCTCGAAGGGGGCATGGCCGAAGGTGGAGCGAGGCCACGCCCACGGGCAGCAAGGGGCGGTCCCGGGAGCGTGTTCTTGGCGAGTCTGTGGAATCGAGCCGCGGTCCCGCGTCTCGTCGCTCTTCGGTTGTCGTCACGCTCGGCGTCGTGGGTCAGGCAGGCGTCGCTGGCCTGACCCGGTCATCTAGTTACCCCGTTAAAGTGGATAAAGTGTACGTTAATGTAGTTAGCCTGTTGGGTCGTTAAATAAACGTGTTGCCTCCAAGATCGAGTGTGCGCCTCCACAGAACAACACTACATTTGTACCAGATGGAGATTCTTCTGGTACAGCCATGGAAAGCTTCTTGAACTACGTGATCGAAAAATATGTTAAATAATGTGGGAGCCAGAGGACATCCCTGTCCCACCCCAGGGTAAAAAGGGAATGCCACAGTCTCCCAGCCATGTAGATTTACCTGGGCCTGCCAACCATCATGAAGGTCCTCAATGATTGTGAGCAAATAGTCTGGGACTCCGAAAGCACAAAGAACAACCGAGAGCCCAGGCCAATTGATGTATCATAGGCCTTGACCAGATCAATAAAGCAGAGATGTCGGTCCTCTTGGAATTGCCTACACCTCTGCTGTAGCAGATAGAAAATATGGGAAATGTGCAGGACCGCCCTGGCCTGAAACCATATTGGGGTTCTGCAAGCCTCTTCTCAGCATGCCTGGCAAGGCGATGTTGAATAATCCTTGCCCGGACCTTTCCCAGCACACTGGGTAGGGAGAAGCCCCTGTAGACTGTGCGGTCCCCCTCCTGAAGGGCATCCTTCCAATCCTACGGAACCCGTCCAGTGGCCCAGACTGTTATTATGATGTCATATAGGGCAGTCTGTGTACAAACGCCACCCTCCCTCAGTATTTCGCTAAAGAGATCATCTCTGCCTGGCGCTTTTCCTGATCTCAGAATCTGGACCACCTTCTGTACATCCTCAACAGTTGGGACTTCAGCCAGCCACTCACAGGGGTGACTACTTGGAATATTTGAGGCACCGCAGCCTCAGCAGGGTCATCCCCGCTCTATGATGTTTCCAGGCTGAGGGATTTCCCCTCACCCAAGACGTCACAGAAATTCTCAGCAAATCTGATGGTGTGGCGCTGCAAATTACTTGTTTGATGGAGTTAAAGAGTAATTTGTGATCGCGGACTACTGAGGCTCCATCTCCTCAGCAACCCGCGACCACCACTCATCTTTGCAGCGCCGCACGGCTCTCCGAACCTCCCAGCGAAGGCTGCGGCAAACCTCCTCATTCTCCCATGTGGGATGCTGTAGATGGTGGGAGTGGGCCTGTCGCTTTTTCTCAGCCAGCCGAAACACCTCCTCCGTCAGCCAGGGTCTCTGGGGAGGTTTGGACCGTGTACCCAAAGCAACCATTGCAGCTGCATGAGCCACCGTCCTAAACCTCGCCCATTTCCCCTCGGCATCAGGAAGAGATGCCAACCCCAGCTGCAAGTGATGATGACATTCTTGCTTACAACTTTATCTAGCTGAGACCATGCCACTGTGGATTGAAATGGGGTCACAGATGGACACCCACCACCGGAGTGGAAAAATGGCAGGTGCATCTTACAGATGACAAGCCGATGGTCAGTGGGCAGATCATACTCACACTCCCACACACACCCAAATATATACATACATACACACACTCACTCAACCAGTCTAGCTCACTCACTCACACAGATACACACTCACACATACTCACTCACACTCACAGACTCACTCACACTCACACACAGACTCACTCACACTCACACACACTCACTCACACTCACAGACTCACTCACACTCACTCACACAGATACACATACACACTCACACACACTCACTCACAGACTCACTCACTCACACACAGACTCACTCACACTCACACACAGACTCACTCACACTCACACACAGACTCACTCACACTCACACACAGACTCACACACACTCACACACAGACTCACACACACACACAGACTCACTCACACTCACACACAGACTCACTCACACACACACACAGACTCACTCATACACAGACTCACTCACACTCACACACAGACTCACTCACACTCACACACAGACTCACTCACAGACTCACTCACATTGACAGACAAAGATTCCCCATATAGCCTCAACAGAATGTTGGGGCAAGTGCTGTTAGCGAACACCTATGAAGACCGGCATGGCACACGCGGGGGTGGGTGACTAGCACCATGCCCGGTCGCCTTTGTCTCCCCAGTGGCGATGTTTACACACCGCACCAAGTACTAATTTGAGGCTGAGTCGACCTAGGGGAGGCCCAGAACCGGTTCAGATAATCGCCACTGGTGTTGGCCATGAGTGAGAATCGAGCTCGGGTCGCCGGGTTCGTAGCGCAGCGCAGTGCTAACCACACATGAATCTTTAATTCCATTAAAAAAAAGTAACTACTGCGCCTCACTCACTCACACACTCACTCACACACTCACTCACACGCTCACTCACACACTCACAAAGTGACACACACTCACACACACTCACAAAGATACACACTAACTCACACACTTACATACTCTCCGCAAATCAGGGTGAGTGTGTTTTAATTAGTTAATTTAAATTCTGTTTCGTAAGCATATTGCATTAATTTGCTTTTAAATATTTCACTGCTGCTCGTGACGACTGTGGGATCGTTGTCTCTGGGTGGATGCCGTTTTACTCTCCCTGCCCGACGCCTCGCGCGGTGCGAGAGTGCGGCGAGTGTGGGGCGAGTGTCGGGTGAGTGTGGGGTGAGTGTGGGGTGAGTGACAGGGTGAGTGTGGGGTGAGTGTGGGGTGAGTGTGGGGTGAGTGTGTGGGGTGAGTGACAGGGTGAGTGTGGGGTGAGTGTGGGGTGAGTGTGGGGTAAGTGTGGGGTGAGTGTGGGGTGAGTGACAGGGTGAGTGTGGGGTGAGTGTGGGGTGAGTGTGGGGTGAGTGTGTGGGGTGAGTGTGTGGCGTGTGCCCGCGTGCTCGCTCACCATCATCGCGATGAGTGCCGTCACGTAGCTCTGCTGCATCAGAAACCGGCCAACCGTCCCAAAGTGTCCCGCCGGGTCCGACCCCTGACCCCCGGCCTCCGCTTCACCCTCCAAGCTGCACTTTGACCCCTGGCCTGATAAACCTGCAGAACGGAAGGACGTGGTGAATGTCACTTTCAATTAAAGCTGCAACTATTACAATATTTTTTTTATATCCTCGGCAAGGCCCACTTGATGCCCACTCGAGGCCCACAACAGAGCACCACAGTGCGGGCCGAATGCAGATGCAGGGCGGTGGAAGACGTGGAACCGTGGCCTGAGGGGACAATCAAAATCAAAGATCCCCCCCCCCCCCTATTTCGTGTTTTGCTAAATTTGAAATGAAAGCATCAGTGAATCAGTGAAGCACTCCGGCTGACTCATGGCCAGCAACAACATCCATGTGAACCAAGGGAACGGTGACAGAATGCCACACAGCCCAGCACGGTCGACTAACCAAAGTGCGATCCAGTCATCACTGGGCTAACTTGGCACCTTACATTGTTTACAGTTACACGCAGCTTACCGCAAGAGAATTACACGAATGATGATGGTGAAAATTAATGTTACTGATAAGACCTTTGGCTCGATGTAAATTGACCACTTTTAGCCACTGTGTTTTATAACCACCCACTCGACTGCAGGACTGCCATCCATCCACACGGAGCAAACCTCATGGAGTTGGGGCATTGCAGTTACCACACAACGTTCAACAGACGATGCATTCAATTTCTGCGATCCAGTTCTATCACCAAATAAACTCCATGACAGTCGAGGCCTGGGGGGAGTTAAGGAGTGCCACTCCCATTCACGATTTTACAGACGGCCGTCTCGCGTCGTCCTATCGTCACGTGGTCACGTCATCATCACGTGGTCACGTCATCGTCACGTCATCGTCACGTGGTCACGTCATCGTCACGTCATCGTCACGTCATCGTCACGTGGTCACGTCATCGTCACGTCATCGTCACGTCGTCGTCACGTGGTCACGTCATCGTCACCGTCATTGTCACGTCATCGTCACATCATCTTCACGTGGTCGTCACGACATTGTCACGTCATCGTCACGTCATCGTCATCGTCACGTCATCGTCACGTTATCCTCACGTGGTCACGTCATCGTCACGTCATCGTCATCGTCATCGTCATGTCATCGTCACGTCACGTCACGTCATCGTCACGTCATCGTCACGTCGTCGTCACGTCGTCGTCACGTGGTCACGTCATCGTCATCGTCACGTCGTCGTCGTCGTCACGTCATCGTCACGTGGTCGTCACGTGGTCGTTGTCAGGTCGTCGTCGCCGTGTCGTCGTGGGGCGGCCCCAGAAGGCAAAGCGGCGGGAACGCTTGGCGACGCGCCTCTTCCGCTCGCGCTCACCCTGCATCCGTAACCCTCGCACGTCGTCGGCTCATACACACGCAGCAGCAACAGCAGCACTTCCACCTCCTCCTGCTGCTGCTGCTGAGGTCACGTAAAATTCGATAAATTTTGGGCCACGGAGATGAAATGCAATCCGCGGTTACAAACGATTTACAGAGCAACCACTTTGTGATTTCGGCCCCTTTCCAGGAGTGAGCAATCGCCGTTTTAGAGAAAGCTAAGTCCCGCCATAGGAATGTGGAGTTTCTGCTTACTGGCTGAGGGCCACGAGTGCTGATGATTGGCACTCAATGCAAGTTTGAGTTGGAAGATATCTGACCTCAAATAAAGACGCCAGTTTATCTCGTAATTATTTCTAGCCTGAGTGAGCTTCTCCATGAATAAAATTCAAAGTTAGGCGCTTCTATAAATATTTTCTCTTAATAAATATACAGGAAGTTTAATCTCACACTGCAATCTTGCACTATTTATTCTTTCAACCAAATATTTTTGCAATATTGTTCCAATTTGTACTCGTATTTTGTACACTCACGCTGAGCACCAGTATTTCTCCAATGTATTTTCTCAGACCTCCTGCGCAGCAGAAACATGCCTCGGTGAAGTCTCATAACTCCTACCGACGTATCATCCGTCTGCCGCTCGCGACGCACGCATCAGACCACGCGTGCGAGGGTGGCAGGAGGGCCGTGGCGAGGATGGGACGGGGGGTGCGGTCACGGAGTCCGCACCGGACTGAGCCGAAGGTCTCCACGAGGAGGGCGACTCGATGGGGATCTCCACGTAGCCCGGGGAGAGGGGGTCGCCAGGGTCGATCAGCAGGTCGCGGTTGTCAAGGTCGCGGAGGTCGCGGAGGTCGACGAGAGGGGAGGGGCGCCGCGCGGCCCCGTCGTGCTGCACGGGGCGCCCGGGGCTCCCGTTGGCCGTGTAGAGCACGGGCTGCGAGGCACGCGGCGCGCGTCAGTGAGCGGCGCGAGGCCGTAACCAGCGCCCGGCGAGGGTGGCGCCCGGGTGGCGCGGTGCGGAGGTGCGCCTCGGCGAGTGCGACTGACGATGTGGATGACGCTCGTGATGACGACGTGCATATGTTGAACTTCTTTCTCACCATACGTAGCCAACCACGCTAATCGGAGGTGCGGGATGACCGTGATGATAACCGTGATGATGACATTGACGGTGTTGATTATGGTTCTTATAATGATAGCACAGGCAGTGATGATGATGATGATGTTAATCATGCCAATAGTGCTGGTGGTGTTGCTGCTGCTGCTGCTGCTGCTGATGGTGATGGTGGTGGTTATATTTAATATGTTGTGTCACTGTGCTCATAAATCGTACGTTGGACACTCCCAGCTCTTCTGGAGCCAGTCTCAAGGGCTGTGGAAGGCAAAGAAAATATTTTCCAAATGTTTTAGTTATAAATTAGAAGATATTAAATTTACAATATTTTATTAAATCTCGCTCCCAAAGCAGTCACACATTGAACCCTGGCCAATGGCTCTCCAAACGGAGGTCTTGGTCTGGTACGTGGTGGCGATGGTGTGTGTGGTGTAATGTGTGTGGTGTGGTGTAATGTGTGGTGTGGTGTAATGTGTGTGGTGTGGTGTAATGTGTGTGGTGTGGTGTAATGTGTGTGGTGTGGTGTAATGTGTGTGGTGTGGTGTAATGTGTGTGGTGTGGTGTAATGTGTGTGGTGTTGTGTAATGTGTGTGGTGTGGTGTAATGTGTGTGGTGTGGTGTAATGTGTGGTGTGGTGTAATGTGTGTGGTGTTGTGTAATGTGTGTGGTGTGGTGTAATGTGTGTGGTGTTGTGTAATGTGTGTGGTGTGGTGTAATGTGTGTGGTGTTGTGTAATGTGTGTGGTGTTGTGTAATGTGTGTGGTGTGGTGTAATGTGTGTGGTGTTGTGTAATGTGTGTGGTGTGGTGTAATGTGTGTGGTGTGGTGTAATGTGTGTGGTGTGGTGTAATGTGTGTGGTGTGGTGTAATGTGTGTGGTGTGGTGTAATGTGTGTGGTGTGGTGTAATGTGTGGTGTAATGTGTGTGGTGTAATGTGTGTGGTTTGGTGTAATGTGTGTGGTGTGGTGAAATGTGTGTGGTGTGGTGTAATGTGTGTGGTGTGGTGTAATGTGTGTGGTGTGGTGAAATGTGTGTGGTGTGGTGTAATGTTTGTGGTGTGGTGTAATGTGTGTGGTGTAATGTGTGTGGTGTGGTGAAATGTGTGTGGTGTGGTGTAATGTTAGTGGTGTGGTGTAATGTGTGTAGTGTGGTGAAATGTGTGTGGTGTGGTGTAATGTGTGTGGTGTGGTGTAATGTGTGTGGTGTGGTGTAATGTGTGTGGTGTGGTGTAATGTGTGTGGTGTGGTGTAATGTGTGTGGTGTGGTGTAATGTGTGTGGTGTGGTGTAATGTGTGTGGTGTGGTGAAATGTGTGTGGTGTGGTGTGGTGTTGTGTAATGTGTGTGGTGTGGTGTAATGCGTGTGGTGTGGTGTAATGTGTGTGGTGTGGTGTAATGTGTGTGGTGTGGTGTGGTGTTGTGTAATGTGTATGGTGTGGTGTAATGCGTGTGGTGTGGTGTAATGTGTGTGGTGTGGTGTAATGTGTGTGGTGTGGTGTAATGTTTGTGGTGTGGTGTAATGTGTGTGGTGTAATGTGTGTGGTGTGGTGAAATGTGTGTGGTGTGGTGTAATGTTTGTGGTGTGGTGTAATGTGTGTGGTGTGGTGAAATGTGTGTGGTGTGGTGTAATGTTTGTGGTGTGGTGTAATGTGTGTGGTGTAATGTGTGTGGTGTGGTGAAATGTGTGTGGTGTGGTGTAATGTTTGTGGTGTGGTGTAATGTGTGTAGTGTGGTGAAATGTGTGTGGTGTGGTGTAATGTGTGTGGTGTGGTGTAATGTGTGTGGTGTGGTGTAATGTGTGTGGTGTGGTGTAATGTGTGTGGTGTGGTGTAATGTGTGTGGTGTGGTGTAATGTGTGTGGTGTGGTGTAATGTGTGTGGTGTGGTGTAATGTGTGTGGTGTGGTGTAATGTGTGTGGTGTGGTGAAATGTGTGTGGTGTTGTGTAATGTGTGTGGTGTTGTGTAATGTGTGTGGTGTGGTGTAATGTGTGTGGTGTTGTGTAATGTGTGTGGTGTGGTGTAATGTGTGTGGTGTGGTGTAATGTGTGTGGTGTAATGTGTGTGGTGTGGTGTAATGTGTGTGGTGTTGTGTAACGTGTGTGGTTGGCGTGACATGAATGTAATGGTGTGACTTTACCAAAAGAACCAAGAATATAAACTATTTGTATTTTACTAGGTAAGGCATACTGAGCTACATAGCTCTTATTCAGAAGCGACCTGGCTAACACAAATCAACGAAGTGACTTACCAAGTGGACATTCATCACAACCAAGTACTCTGTACGCATTTTGATTCTAAATGTGGAGGGAAAAACCGGAGGACCCAAAGATAAATCCACGCGGCCGCGGGAAGAGAGAGAGGCACGCAAACTCCGAATATACAGCAGCGGGCGTCAGGGTTGGGTTCAAACCCACGACCCCCTGTACACCAGGCGAGGTAGTTAACATCTCCTAGCCACCATGGCGCCCCCGTTCATGATCCCCTAACGTCATTCCCACGACTCGACTGGAGTCGCGCAGAGCGAGCGACGTCACTGCCCCCTCCAAAACTACGGACGGCACACGGTCGGTGCGACACAGCACAGCGCTCTCGTGACAGCCGTGCAATATCAGAATGGTGCGAATGACGCGACTACTAAATTATTATTATTAATGAAGATGCGATGGCGTCACGTCGTGTAACGATGTCAGCATCACCCTGCTTTCGTCGACGGAGGACAGCGAGTGCTGGGGGCCACTGAACCACTTGTGCCGCGTCGTCGGCTGCTGCTGCGCTTCGGCGGAGCCCTCCCTCGTGGGCGGCAGCACCTCGAGCAGCAGATCCCGCTCCTGCACACGCGAAGAGCACGCACACAATGAGCACGCACACAATGAGCACGCACACACACATGCACACGTGTGCACACACGTACGAACACATGCACGCACAAACACGCAAGCACACACACGCACACACACATGCACACGTGCGCACACACATACGAACACATGCACGCACAAAAACGCAAGCACACACACATGCACATGTGCGCACACACGTACGAACACATGCACGCACAAACACACAAGCACACACGCACACACACATGCACACGTGCACACACACGTACGAACACATGCACGCACAAACACGCAAGCACACACATGTGCACACGTGCAAAAAGAGCACACACATGCAACGAGCAGGCACACGCACGCACGCAGAGATGAGCATGCACACACACACACAAACGCACGCAACGAGCACGCACACAAGCAAACGCACACACACGCTCAAGCAGGCACACACGTAAGTGAGCGCACACATACACGCACGTGCATACACGCACGTGCACACTCATGCGCGCACACGCACGTATACATGCACGCTTGTGTGTGACTGTGGGGAGCGGTGGTGTAGCAGTTAGCGCGCTGCGCTATGAACCCAGTAACCCGAGTTCAATTACCACTCACGGCCAACACCAGTCACAGCGACTGAACCGGTCCTGGGCCTCCCCTAGGTAGACTCAACCTCAAACGAGTACAGTACCTGGTGCGCTGTGTAAACATCGCCATTCGGGAGACAACGTCAGCTGGGCGTGGTGCTGGCCACCCACCCCCTCGTGTGCCACAGTGCCGCCTTCATAGGTGCTGCTCGCTAACAGCACTTGTGTGTGTGACCGTGTGCACGTGTGTTACTGTATGTGTGCGACTGTGTTGGCACAGTGGGGAGCACAGTTGGTGCATCTACCAGCCTTCTCAGTCAGTAAACCCAAGTCTGTCCCATGACCTCCGGCCAGCGAGTCTTCCACACTCTTTGTGGCCTCAAGGTGCACCTAGCCTGGCACAAGCACTGTGGTGACGTCACTGCCACTTAGTGGCAAATGGCGGCTGTGACTGTGTACCTACGACACTGCGTATGTACGTGCATGTGGGACTGCGTGCGTGCGCATAAGCTGCGTGTGACCATGTGTGTGCATGTGCATGATTGTGCATGTGCGTGCATTATTGTGCATGTGCGTGCATGATTGTGCATGTGCATGCGTGACCGTAACCGTGTGCGACTGCGTGCGCGTGACGGTGCGTGTGTGAGCGTGCGTGCGCGTGAGCGTGCGTGCGACTTTGCACGTGCCTGCTGCGAGCGCAGCGGCTCGTAGAGCCACATGCGCACGAGCGTGGCCACGGTGAAGTAGAGCAGCAGCAGGAGGCCCGGGTTGAGGAGGCTGGGCCACGCCACGTCGCCGTGCACCGCCAGCTGCCACGGCGCCGAGCAGTCCGTGCGGATCACGGCCGTCACGCCAAACAGCCTGGCGGCGGCGGGGGGGGCACGCAAACGCACGGCAAACGCAAACACGCGGCTCGACGAACCGTCGGGACGAGCGTTGTCAGCGAACGCCTGGTAAGGTCGGCACGACGCACGAGGCGGCGGATGGCCGGGCCTCCTTCGTCTCCCCGGTGCGATGTTTGACACGCCGCCACCGGCGCTCGCTTCGAGGCCCGAGGTGGCAAGCGGTATCGCGAGGTGACAAGCGGCATCGCGAGCAGCAGCGGCCCCCGGTGCGGCCCTGCGGAGGGCTGCCGAAGCTCCGCGGCGCCGCTTCAGGACTCCCGACGGGAACGAGCGGATCGCTTTGAGCGACGGGTTCTGAGTCCAGGGACAAAGGCCCCATTGCACACGAAGCAGCCAGCAGCAAAGAGCACCATTGAAGGTGCAATGGTTAAGAGGTAATCTGTTTCTTGGGTCCGGCATAGTTATTAAGAGGAGCTGGGGGGTGTGGAGGGACAATGGGAGGAGGGAATTTCCCAAGTGGAGTGGCACGAGGGGGAAAGCAGAACGAGATGAGAGGTGAGCTGCAGTGCAGCGAGTGAGTTGTCGTGATATGGCGGTTGGCGCGCCGAGCTACAAACCCAGCGACCCGAGTTCCATTCCCGCTCACGGCCAACACCAGCGACGATTATCTGAAACGGTCCTGAGCCTCCCCTAGGTCGACTCAACCACAAGTGAGTACCTGCTGCGGTGTGTAAACATCGCTGCTGGGGAGACAAAGGCGGCCGGGCGTGGTGGTTGGCCACCCACCCCCTCGTGCGCCATCCCGGCCTTCATAGGCGCTCGCGAACAGCATTTGTCCCAACAGTCTGTTAAGGCTACACAGGGGATCTTTGTCCTTGTGCTGTTGTGACCTGCAGTGTGGTGGTTGACTAACGGTGCGGTGGCTGAGACGAAACAGTCAGTGTCTAGAGTTGCACATCGAGTCTATGACGGACAGTCAGGACTTGGCTATTGCTTTAAAGCAGCGATGTGTGGGCGAACGAGACAGCGCAGCCCTTCGTGATACTTTAAAGTTAAACGATGCGGTCCGCTGTGTACTCGCATCTCCTCGGGGCGATTCACTTCCCTCCCACACGAGACGAAAATACTGAGAGGGAAATTGTCTCAACATTACGTGCAGGACCTTCCTAAAACAAAAACAAAAAACTAAGCGATGTTTTTCCAAGTAATTATTTCCAATTACAATTCACCACATGTGTAATTTGAGTGTTTCTCAAGTGCCATCTAAGTTTACATTTCCCTTCTGTTGTTGCACTTCATCATAGTCCCCGCAGTCACCTCTGGTCCCTGCTTGTGAAGGATTTGTGTTATTTCAACCGATCACTCAGTCGGTTACAAGGACGACTGCGTTACAGAATTGGCAGCGGAGTTGTTCGTTGCCAGGAATCAAACCCAGCTCGAGTGCAATGAGAGGACGGTTTGTGGGTGTCGGGTGGTGGCGGGTTTAACGACACATTGATATTTACGCGATCTAACCCAAACAAGTCTATTATGGATAATATTGGTCGCGAGAGCGGTTTCCTCCCGAGTCCACTGCGGCACAGATCCACACACACAAACACACAAACATAAACACACACACACAAACACACACACACACAAACACACACACACACACAAACACACACACACACAAACACACACACACACACAAACACACACACACAAACACACAAACACACACAAACACAAACACACACACAAACACACACACAAACACACAAACACACACACAAACACACAAAGTGGGAAGAATCTAAACGGTGAGAGCCGAGTGCTTTTAGGAGGCAAAAAAAAATCTATTTTACCAGTTAAGGCTCACTGAGCTGTGTAGCTCTTTCTCAGAAGGGACCTGGCCATCACAAGTGACAGCTCAACAAAGCGGCTCATCATCACGCCGAACTGTAGAGCAACAAAACCCTCAAAACGCATCTTTCTAAATGTGGAGGTAAAAACCGGAGGACCCGAAGAAATATCCACGCAACCACGGGGAGAGAGACACTGCAAACTCCAAATATACAGCAGGTGTCAGGGTCGAGATAAACTCACGACCTCCTGTATACCAGGCGAGGTAGTTAACATCTCGCCACTGCGGTGCCCAACATCTATTAAGGCCAGCACAGCAGATGAGGTGGAGGTTGGACCAGTGCCGTGCCTGGCTGGTTGATGTTAACACACCAAACTAAGGCTTAATTTAATGCCAAGTTAACTGAGGGTAATCTAAGGACATTTACATATACAATACCACTTGCCCCTGGTGAGGAGAGCTGGGAGTCGAACCCAGGTGACTGTGAAGGGGTCACGGTGCACACATCCAAATTTCACTACTACCTGAAAACAAACGACAAGGTCCCCCCAATAGCATTATAGAGACTGTTGGGGCAGTTTCTGTTAGCGACCACCTATTACAACCAACAATGCACATGATGGCGTGGTGTGGACATCACGCCTGGCCACATTAGTGTTGATGTTTACACACCACACCAGGTACTCATTTGAGGCCCGACGAAAAGCCTAAGGTGAGTTATGGTGCCACCAACGTTGAGACACGGCCTCCAACGGAACGCGCCTCGATGGGTGTGTCGCGCAGCGCACGGACAATCGCGCTCATGCCTCCCAACGCACGAACACGCGAACGCACGCTCACAAGCACGAACGCACGCTTGCACACGCGAACGCACGCTCACAAGCACGAACGCACGCTTGCACACGCGAACGCACGCTCACAAGCGCGAACGCACGCTTGCACACGTGCGCACGCTCACAAGCACGAACGCACGCTTGCACACGTGCGCACGCTCACAAGCACGAACGCACGCTTGCACACGCGCGCACGCACACTACTATTGACTCACGCTCGCACAGAGCAGTGGGGGGCGAGGCGACTTGGAGCGGAGCACAAACAAGAGGAACGAGCCAAGCGGAGGCCCCCGTGCTCGTGCACGGCCATCCTCGACGGCAGCGCCTTTGAAGACTCGGGCCGCTGTCTGGCTGCCAACCACCAGAAGATGAATTGCCCGTGAACAGCTCCGTGGGGGCGCGATGGCAGAGAGAAGTGCATTTCTGTTTTTCTGGCGTCGGCTTAACGCGGACACACGACGACCCCGGACTCACTCACACCTGCGCACGGAGCGCGGCGCAGTCCGTGATGTTCTAAGCTGGAACGACATAAAGAGACGGCTCTCGTTTACGAGATGTCCAGAGGGAACGTCCAGACGCCACCGCCACTGGCATATATTTACAAGGGGTGGCTGGCTCGTTGAGAATTCACCATATAAGGAGCACTGGGAGCTTGCCTTTTATTGAACTCTGGCGGGAATTTTGTGAAGATGCGTCGGGTGGTTTTCCCTTTTTGTCGATGACATTCCACGCTGCAAATTGGCGCCCTTTTTTTTCACCAGACGAGAGCCTCCTGACGCTCATCGACTCGTGCGGACGGAACGGCCCGACGACTCCGATCTGCGCGTTGTGTCCCGTCCAACGGCTAAGACGTACCGATGTCTCCAGTCCTAAACGCGGGGCAACATCGCCCGGCCCAGGTCTGTGGCCATTTCACTGAGAGATGTGAATCTTCACCGAGAGATGCCGATCTTTATGAATGTGTTGAGTGTTTTGTTATTTGTGCAGTTCTGGCCCAAAGCGTCTCCCTGCTCAGACGAGCACCGGGTGGTGCTCATCACCACCGGCGTCCCTGAGCCAATGGTGACAATTCCACATTCCTATGGTGGGGGGCCAACCCCTCCTTAGAGACAACGACTGTTCACTCCCCACAAAGGTGGACTTATTTTATCGACGGCGGGACCCAAACATCGCACCCCCTGGCTTTGACATTCCTCCTCCCGCTCCTCGTCCTCCTCCTCGAAGACACCGGTGCTTCCCTTCAACTGCATCAGAACATCACCAACAGGCCGACGCACAAATCTCCTTCACGAATGGAAAACGAAAGACGAGCCACAGTCGTGCGACCGTGGCCATGCCACCCTAACTATGCACCGCACAGTCACCCACCGTCGTCTGCGCCGCTTCAGCGGAAGAGGAACAGCAAGACGGAACCGACTCTCTCTCCTGATGCCCTCTCGGCGTGGCGAGCAGCAGACATTGGCATCTAGCTCTCAAACACTTTGCTGCCATCGTGCGCAAGAATAGGATTTTATCAACCTCGGAAGAATGGTGATGGGCTGGGTTGACTCCAATTCTCATTTTGCAGTCTTTGATCTGCTGGAGATTATAAGTCAAAATTTTTCTTCTCAGCGGAAGTCCTTGAATTTATCCCAATTCCTGTTTGAAATAAATGTCTATGATACTGGGTTGGCAATGACTCCCAGGCACAAATAGTAACAACTCAACACATTCATGAATATTACTGCCCTAAAATATAGTAATAATAATGAACTATCACCTCATTTTTAAATTTTCCCAGGTAAGGCCTACTGAGCTATAGAGCGATTTTTTAGAAACGTTCATATCACGTAATTTATACTAATAGCATCTCATAACGCCATACATTAATTACAAATAATGGCTAAATCCCATACACAGCCACTGACAAACAAGTGAAAATAATAGGCAACCTTTCATTCAATGGTCCTGCGATATTTTGTCTTCTATAGGGGAGCGTTCGTGACGATGGGACACTCGTGATTCAATTGCTGAGAAAATATTTGCACAGCGTAACAAACGCCGGTGCTAACTCAGACAGGAATAGACATGTGAGACTAGTTTCGGATGATGGCACGGGCACTATGAGCTGCCCAAGCCCCTGATGACCAGGAAACGGTGGTGAGTAGTGAGATGGCTGTGGGTGAGTGGTGATGGACACGGGGTGAGTAATAAGATGGCTGTGGGTGAGCGGTGATGGACACGGGGGTGAGAAGTGAGATGGCTGTGGGTGAGCGGTGATGGACACGGGGTGAGTAGTGAGATGGCTGTGGGTGAGTGGTGATGGACACGGGGTGAGTAGTGAGATGGATGTGGGTG